CCCCAGATGGAGGCACCCGCGCTGTGGGGTGGCCTGAGCGCACGCAGTGGGGCCGCAGGGCGCGCTTGAGCAGCCTGCTCCTCCCTGAGCCACGTGCTGCTCCTCTGCCGTCCTGTCCCCAGTGGGAGAGGCTTGTGGAAAGGGGGCCTGGGCGACAGATCAGCTGGGCATGTGGTGAGTCGCGCTCCCTGCAGTTAAGAGACCCAAGAAGCTCGTTCTCAGGCACCAGTCATCATGTCGTCTCTGCAACCAACAAAACAGTGGGATTGTGGCTTTAGATTAACTCACCTCTTTGGTCATCTGTCGCTTCCACGGCCAAATCTAAGACACGGTGCACCTTCTGCTCCCCCCACAGCCTCCGGTTCCCAGTGCAGACTCCAAGTGCTCCGGCCAAGGGGCGCCGGGCAGTGCCCCCTGCTGACCCCCGCCCCTCTTCCCGGGACACTCAGCGTCCCTCGTCACCTGCTTTGTCACTCTGGGGTCTCCGAGCAGCTGTCACCTGCCTTTCCAACCTGAGCTGCCACGAGAGGCCCCGCCTGCTCTCCCCTAACCACCACCTCATCTTCTGCACGTCCTTCCTGCGAAGCCAGACCAAATGCCGTCCACCACCCAGCTGTCCTCAGGCCCCCCTGCAAGCCACTCTGTGGCCATGATGCCTCCACTCTTGCCTCCCCCTGCTCGGTCACTGCTCTAGTCGCCAGGGGCTTCACCACAGCTTTCCGGGACTTCGCTTTCTCACCTGGGCACAGAGGAGGGGCCAGATGGTCACTAAAGTCCTTCAGGCGGAATATTCCCTGACCCTATCACAATTCCTGTGCTGTCCGTGTTTCAATGACGGTCAGATAATACCATGCTCACTGGCACAAAGATGACAATTTGTGCCCAAGAGCCACCGAATCTAACTCCTATAAAATAGGGTTTAGGAACCCCTGGCGCCCAATGATGCAGTAATAGGAGCTACACAGACCCAAAGGGTCGCTGCGAGTCACAGGTCATTCCAGGGAGGGAGGGACTGGGCACTGTCGGGTGGGTACGTGGAGGCCCAGAGAAGCTGCCATCCTGGGCCACAGACCCAGGCAGGTCCCAGATGCATGGAAAGCCACTGTAGGGACCAGCTGCTCTGCCCTGTGCATGAGGAATAAGCACCTGACACATGTATTCTGCACCTGGATGTCCACCTACACGTGCTGCATCCACAGGAAGGGGGGCTTGAGTCAGGGCCACTGAAGGCCACACTGTCCTGCATTCCTGTCCTTCGAGCTGCTGGCCCGTGGGAAGCAGCTGGGTCTGTAACAGCATCAGTTCCTCTTGATGTCGAACTATTTGAAGGTCTAGCACCTAAGTAAACTGGGTAAAATAAGAAAAAGCCACCACTAGTGGTCTTTCTATGGTCCGGATGTTACAAAGAGTTCAGTTTTATGTCAATGTGTTTAATCCTCACGGCCTATTTGCTGCATCAAGAAACTGAGATTCAGGGCGGCTGGACGACTTCCCGGGTCATGCGGCCCTCGAGGGCCTGGCTGCGTTTACGGCCAGGACTGCCTGCCCTGCCCCATGCTGCCAGCTCACAGGGGAATACTGGGAAGCGGGCTGAGGTCACGGGGAGGCTTAGGAAACTAGGGGTTTGCACCCCAGCCCCTCAGCTGTGTGAGTTCCACGTGGTGCTGGTCAGGAAGTCCTCCGGCCGCCTAAGCCTTGGGGACGTTTCTTCGAGGGTTCTGTGTATTCTGCACAAGACCTCGTGGGGGCCTCACGTCCACAAGACTCCTCACGTCGAGGAAAACCTGGGCCTCCCCCAGCAAGGAGCTCCGGCTGCAGTCTGTGCGAACATTTACCAGCACCCACTGTGCGTCAGGAACCTGCTTCATCGGGGCAGACCAGAGGCACCCAGGAGGCCTGCACACACCTCGAGTGTTAGGTCACCGGGTCCGCGGCACTTCCAAGGCACTTCCACAATTACAGACAGATGCGCTGGCATCTGTCCCACTCCAGACAAGTGCACGGAGCGGCTCCGATGGCTGGCCACGCGCTGCCCACCAAACCCCACCTGCTGCTCTAACCATGCCAGCATGTGGGCTGCATCAATGACAAACCCCTCAGTGAGGGGGCACCTAAGGGACGCAAGGCTGTTGTAGGCCTTCCTGCAAAGTTGTCAGCTCAGGGGCTCTAAGAGACAGACCCGGGACTCTCGCCGCCTCCTGCTTCAGCGACATGCCCTGCAGGCATTTTCCCACAGAAAGGGAGAGACCCCTCGATACGCAGGGACTTAGGGAACCACCCACCAAGAGCACGTGCACTTAAAAATGAGTAAATAAATAAAACACTGCTGAGAAAGGTGCCTATAAAGAAGACTGGGGTAAACAGGGAACCTCTGGATGCATCGTGTGTGCATGTGTGTGGGTTTGTGCATGTGTGTGTGCACATGTGCATGCATGTGTGTGTGTGTGTGTGTGTGTGTGTGTTGGCTGGGAGTTAACTTTGCTTTTTAAAGAGAGAAAGAAAAACTTGCACTCCGTGGGTCCGAGTTACAGCCAGAACTTAAACTAAGTAAAGTCTATGCTCTTTCTGACTCTGAGACCCTGGCTTTAAATAGAGACCAGAGAAGAAAGGAAGGAGGTGAGCTTCAGAAGACAATTTAGAGACACAGTGGAGGGGCCAGGAGACATTTACCAGGGGAAGCTCAGCACATGGATTAATGACCCATCCCCAAATTCGAAACCCCAAATCTGAAACTGATGCCCATGTCCCAGACCCTTGAAACAAAAGAGGTCACCCTCCTTCAGGTCACGCTTCCACGAAGGCCAGGCTCTGCTCACCACCGTCACCAAGGTGTCCAGGCTCATGGAAGAGCCACATGAGAGTGACTTCATCGCCATGCTGAAGTGCCTGGGGTGTCACCGCAGTTAAGTGCTCTGAACCCAGAGAGGACACGAGACTGTGACGTGCAGCCCACAGCCCAGGACTAGTCATGTGTTTCCAGCCACCCTCCATGGACCCAAGATGCTTGGTCCTACCAGGGCCTCAGAGCAGAGAGCCCCAGACGCTAAGGAGCATCACTGTCTAACAGTCTGGCTTATTAGGGTGCCTCAGAAAGGGGTCCTATCCCCTGGCCTTAAGTGCGATTAGTTGACAGGAAACCCTAACAATGGCAGAACATGAAGGCGCCAGCAAGCCCAGTCTTCTCGCTTTAACTGCTGCAAGTCCCTTCTATTCGTGGAAAACGAGATGATGTGATAAATGGCTGTGTTGATGCTCAGCCAACCCTGATGGGCCCCCATTCCCACGATGTCAGGTGTGTGCCTGGCAAGGCCAGGGACCCCGGGGTGACCCCTAGGATGCACGCACATATCAAGTGAGCCCTAAGCACCGGGGTTTGGGACACTAGTTGTGGCCCGGCTCGCCGGGCGTCCCTCACTCAGGGTCAAGCACACATGGGTGTTTGAAGACACACTTGAACGAAGAGCGGTCTTGCATGCTCCCTTTCTGGGTGAAATTAAGCTTTGAAACCATCCAAATCTTACCATCTCCATAGCCGCAGGAAGGAGCTGAACTCCACTACCCTGGCAATGCCGTCACGCCAGTCTTTCAAAGCCGGAGACAAGGCTGGGGGGCCGGCAGGGGTGGGGGGAAGCCAGAGGTCAAAGACTGACCTGAGGACACACAGGCCCTCCGGGCACCAGGCCAAAGGGTGGCTGCACAGCATCAAAAATCAGGGAGAAACGACGAACCCTTCAGAAGGCCCCCTGTTCGGTCTTGCCGACCTGTCCTGGGGCTACCAGGAGGTCATTTCAAAACCACGAGTCAACAGTGAAGGCGCCCTGAGGTCCGGCAGCACCGCCAGGATCCTAACCATTCACGGGCAGGTCGCCTGCACAAGGACCCGACGCGGTTGCCTCGCCTGCCCCCACCACAGCCGTCTCACACACGGGCTATTCACTTATTTTAAATTGAGGAAACTGAAGCTTTAAAGTTATATAAGTTTCCCAAGATCCCTGCTAACAACCAGCAGGTGTGACATCAAACCCGGGCTCTGTCCCCACAGGTCATGCTCCTCTCGTGTTTGCGTATTTCCCAAGTGCCTGGGCCGCCGCCCGCACTTACAAAGCCTTTTTTTCCTAAATTTTTACTGGACTATAATTGCCATACAATTTTATATTGCACTATATTCCTCTATTTTGTCCATCCCCCCATGGTAACCGCCCGTCTGCTCTCTTTGTTTATGAGCCTATTTCTGCTTTGTTTGCACATTGCTTTGTTTTTAGATTCCATCTATAAATGAAATCATATGGTATCTGTCTTCCTCTGTCTTACTTCACCGAGCACAACCCCCTCCAGGCCCATCCATGTTGTTACAAACGGCAGGATTTCCTTCTTTACAGGAGCATATTCCATCACATGTATGCGTGTCCGCACCGCGTCCGTCTCCACTCTCCATCCACCCGCGGGCGACATCGGGCTGCTGCCGCATCTCGGCGACCATAAACAAGGCCGCAGTAAACAGGGGTGCGTGCATCTTTTCAAATCAAGGACTTTGTTTTCTTCAGGTAAATTGAATTTAACAATGCAGCTAACATATGATTTGACTATAATAGTAATTTTCTCCAAATGTGAAGTGTATCCAAACACTTAAAAGTGCATCTTTGGTGTTTCTGCGATGGTCTTACTTTATTCCCTCCCTTTTGAGGAGTGAAATTGGAGAACAATGAAGGTGCTGTCCTCACCCCCTGACTCAGTCTCTACTTTGCATATCACCAGTCAGTGTTTCTCTTAGCATTTCACTGTTGGAATTAATTAAGTTAAAATGTAAACAATGGCTAACCTGAGGCTCCAAACTCCCCAGTCACTTTCCTTATCTCTCAGGCCGGGTTCATCCGGCATGCTGGGCTCTCGTTCACCCACCCCAGCTGACCAGAGTCCCAACTGGGCCAGGCCTTGGCACAAGGAATCACAAGGACGTAAAGTGAGTAACCAGATAGAATCTCTGATTGCTTTGGATAGGAAGGTGGGGTCGGGCTTCTTCCTGTTTTGCTATCCAGCTTCAAAATAGAACCACCTCAGCAGATGCCCCTGCCTCAGGCTGTGACCTGAGAGGCTATAAAGCAACGACTGCCCCAAAGCACCTGGTGGCAGACGCTTGAGTACTGGTCCTGGGCAGCAAGTCAGATATTAGAAGCCCTCTGTACGCTGGTAAGTGCACCACTGGGCAGGTTACTAAGTGTTAATTGGAAGGGAAAACTCGGATTGCTAAGAATGGGGCACCAGTAACGCTCCCCCAGTGCTTCCATCACCGGGCGCCGGTAGTGCTCCGGTGCCACGTCAGACAGTTTGGGGTTTGCCCACCAGTCGTGGCAGATGTGCTGGTCGGGAGTGAGTGGCCCCTTTGAGATCAGATGTTGGCTTGGTGACCTTTTTCCCGATGTTAAGGGTGCTCCATTCTGTGCATGAGGACAACATTTCTTGGCTTCACACCATTGTCAGATCTTTTCCACTCCCAGCTGAATGCACAAGATTATAAATTTGAGGGTTTTGAAAACCTTTGTAGATACCTGCTTTGATGCCGCCTGACTCACAGGTGGATGGACTGAGTCTCAGCCCTGTGTCGACTTAGCGTCCTCTCTGCTCAGGGACCCCTGCAGCCTGGTAACCACAACGAACCCAGAGCCTGGCAGTGCTTCTTGTCTGGTGGTCGTGGTCAGGCACAGGCTTAAGGAGCAGAGATGTGCGGCTGGAAGAGAGAAGCTGCAGAGTGTGGCCCCCTCTGACCCAGGTTTCTTATCAGTTTGTGCTTGCTTGTTCCCTGGGGCTCAGGGGGGAGCCTCATTCCCCCGCAGTGGCATCAAGCTACATCTACGTTGATTTAGGAGCAAGCTCTGGTGACTCCTGAAATGCACAGCCAGCCAGGGTGTGTGTGAGAGAGAGAGAGGGGAGACAGAGAGGGACAGGGAGACTGAATCGGAGTCGGAGGGGGAGCGTAAGAAGGGCTGGAGCTTGTAAAACACCAGGGGGACAGCTTCCCAGGACACACACAGGTGAGTCACATGGAAACAGCTAGGAACCCGGTTACCTGATCAGAGCAGGACTCAGGTATAGGATACTTTTCATTTTCCTGACACCAAGTGATAAGGTCCTGGGTCAAGAAGAACATATGCCTGGAAAGAAAGCCTCTCAGCCGGAGGCTCCCAGGCTGGGCTGAGGCCCCATGGTCAGCCTGCTGGGCAGGCTGCAATTCCCTGTGTTCAGCCATCAGGTCCAAACCGCCAAGTCTTTTCTGTTCTTACAACTTTGTAGTTGTTTGAAAAAATAATACGCAAGTCGAAAGAAAAGTAATATTTTCATTTCATTCTCAACTCACCACAATCACCCAGCACTGCGGCCTCTGCATGCTGGCGCTGGTAACTCCAGCCTTGGGCAGACGTGGCCCCTGCGTCTCCTGCCCAACCCCCACCCACTCCCTGCTCCTCACAGCCTGGGGACGCAGCCTGGGCCTAGTGTCCTTGACCCCTGTGCCATCCCTGGCACTCCCTCTGCGCTGTTTGTGTTTTACTTCTCAGCAGTAGGGGAGGAAGTGTAAAACGCCAGCAGAGAAGAGCAGTTCCGTCCTCGCGGCCCACACCCCAGCACTGATGCGAACAGGCGAGGACTCCCAGCCAGCTGTTCGCATCTGTCCGCCCTCTCACTGGTTCTGCTGCGTGAACTCACCTTCATCCACTGACACCTAGCTCACCAATCTGGTCCTATTTCTGCAGCTTTATTACTTTCTTCTTTCATATTTAGTTGGCTGTGGGAGGCTTGCTTCATTAAAATAATAATAATAATCAATAATAAGGATGATATACTTCTTTAAAGCCATCCAAAAAAGAGGCAGTCAAGTTTTTATTGACTATCCACATTAGGAGTGCTGTATTTTAAATGCTGTTTTTTGCTTGAGGATGGAAACAGTGGTGTGCTTCTCACCCTAATAAAATCTCCTGCTGTTTATCAGTTCCTCTGCCTAAAAGCACAGCAGCCACCAGCTGGAAATGATTTTCAGTTTTTTTAAAAAAGGGACAAAACTTTTAAGAAAGCACTTCTTTAAATTTGTTTTAATCACACTTCGGTTTCTTACAAGCATCTACACTTGAGAAGAGGTTGGTGTGAGGGCAGCAATCCCGGGCACCCGTCCCTCGGAGATACAGCCCCCGGATGTGAACCAGAGCGTCAGAGGCAGAGAGGGAAGACGGCCCGCAGCTCAGGGCCTGTCTGTGCCCCTGCCTGTCTTGGTCTCCTGCCAGGATTTCCTGCCCATTTCCCTCGCTTGCCAGCAGGTACCCTAAGACACTCTTCTAAGTTTGCACTGATAGCTCTGATTCCAAGCGCTCTGGAACTTTGCCTCTATAAACAAACCCCAAATTGTCATGGCAGAAATCCACAAAACGTCCAGAGTAAGAAAAAATTCTCCTGAAGCTAAAAATAACAAGCAACAGCGCTTTGGAACCCAGCATGCCCCGACTACCATTCTGTATGATTCTATAGGCTTGTGGCCTCGCTCGTACAAAAGGCTCTTCTTCCAGCTTCATTTCAGAGAGAAGGGAACTGAGACATGGAAACGGTCATTTGGCCAGCACAGTCATACTGCGGGGCAGGGGGACTAGCCAATCCCGAGCATCAGACCCGGGTCTCCTGGCTTCTCTGCTGTTCCCTGGGCTTTTGGGGAGAAGGCTGGCTGCTCTGGCCCACGCTGAGTTACAGCATGGCCCTGAGGAGGGCTTTTGTGCTTACCGTGCACTTTATAGGAGGTTGTTTTGAGGAAGGAATCTCTGACCCAGGATATTAGCTCCCAACAAATATTTACTCAATTAGTGTTTTTAACTAAAAAGGATATAATGTGATGCATTAATTATTTTTGCCCATCAGGAAATCCTCCCATTGCCAAATAGTTATGCAAAGACTAGTGCAGACCAGTCATGCTGCTGGGATCTGTGAACATGAAACAAGTCAAAGAAAATGCCCTGCTTTGGGGAAACACACAGCTTTATGCACAGGCACAGACCAACAGCTATGGCCAAGGGGGTCGTCCCCTTATGCAGCCCCTGGGGGCAGGACACTATGCCCGCTCTGCACGAGAGCGGCAGACTCACCAAGAGTCCGCGGCCACAGCCTCCACGTCCCACCCTGGCCCCTGCTCCGCTGCCCGGTCTCTGGAGCCCATCCCCCCCCCTCTGCACACTGGAGCTTAAGTCATCCTGGAAAACCTGGAGCAAATAATGTTTCCCGGTGTTGCTTTCTACTTCCCCAAAGTCAGAATGACCCCCGCCTCCTTCATGCTCTCATTGCAGTGTGTGCACGAGACACAGAGTGCTTCCATGAAGGCCTTCTGCCTGTTCCTCCTGTGCACCCCCAATCCCTCACCCAGCCGCAGCAACACGGGGGCCTCCGTGAGTGTTTGATGGCTAAATTAGAGAACAAAGCAGATCTGAGTTGAGGAGACCCTATGGGGCTTTTCATTCCACCCTCTACTGCTACATGACTATTAATCTCCTCCTTGCAACACCTCCTGAACAACCGCCACACAGCCTGCCTGGGCAAAGAGAGCCCATCAGAGCCTGAAATGGTGGGAAGTGCTTATACTGAGCTGAAACGTGCCTCCTGCAACGTCTTTAGTTCCACCATCGGCTGTAATCCTAATCCTTCTGTCTAGGACGGTCCTTCAAATCCTAAAGGCAAACGTTTACAGAACTGTGTCCGGCCCCTAGAGTAAGTCAGCACGGATGCCCCTTCTGCAGAGTGAGCCTGTGGTCTCCTTGCCCAAGGACTCCCCACTGAGCTCACAGGGTACCGGGAGCTGGCAGGCTGCCCTCTGACGGACTGACGGTCGGTACAGATGCATCCTTGCTCAGCAGTGTGTACCTGAGAGGACATCATTCCAGGCAAGGGACCTACAGTCCCGGGTTTCGCCCCCTGTTCCTCCCGCCCGGGACACAGCCCTGAGCACCAAGGCTGAGCAGAGCCTCTGGGGAAGTTACTTCTCCCTCTGCCGACCTCCTGCGGTTTCTGCGGAACCCCTGGGGAAAGTGCCCACCCTCTTTCCTGTTCCCACTTTGAAAGTGGCTCCTCTCTACCCCCAACAAAAGGAAACTGCTTTTTTCTTGGTGTCCTACTGAAGGCAGGAAGACTTCCAGTCTTTACAGAGCCATGTGCTCTGCACACAGCTGTAAATACCATATTTATTCTTCACAGTGTCAGCGTGCCCCGCACACGGCTGCAGATACTGCATCTGTGTGTGCGGCTCCCCCTTCTTTGTTCCCAGAGTCAGTGTGCTTCCCTGGACGCCTACTTTGGCCCGCAAAAACGAGTAGCATGGTATCCTGCTGTGTGAGTGAGGAAAATGAGTCCCAAAGAGGGCATTTTCTAGGCACCCGGCTGGTTCATGAAAGAGCAGGCATCTGAGACAGATCCGTCTGGTCCCAGCTCCCACCTTTACTTTATCACATCAGCAGCCTCTCTAACGCAGGTCACTTTATAGCGTGAGGACCCAGCGAGGGGAAGGTTATATAGGGTTGTTGATTCACTGACGTCCATCAGAATCCAGAGCACGACCTCCCCAAAGGAGCCAACTAGCTCTTCCCAGTAAAGCAAATGCAGTGGCTCCAAAGCCCCCAGGCCTGCAGTGCACTTACATGACACCTGAACGAATGGCCCTTCGTGGCATTGCAGAAATATTTGCTGAGCATCATGTGTGTCCCAAGGACTGCCTTAGGCCCTAGGGCCGCGGCAGAGGCTCGAGCTGCTTGTCTCAAGCTCCCAATCCTAAAAAACAAAACAGTTGCACCCAGTTTTGTGGAGACAGATCACCTGTGAACAAGAAAGCAGCAAATGTTCAGAAAAATAATGTCTTTGGGGCACTTTTTGCATCTCCTCTGTGACCCAAGTGCTTTAAAAACTTACTCACCTGAGGAGATAAAAGTATCACAAAAGCATACCAGGAGACAATATCTAAAATCATATGATCTAGTGTTAAACACGTACCTATCAATCAGAATGCTAGAGGAATTAAAAAGCAGGCTCACTGATGGGAAAAGCAGCCTCAAGATACAGTTTTTTTAATTATTAAAAAAAGTTTTTGACAAGGTGACCCTTTGCATCTGCTCCATGTCACCATGGGTCAGTGACGGCTGAGGCAGCCACACAGTCCACAGCACACACTGTCTGCTAACAGGGCCCAGTTTCAGCCCCTGCCAGTTTGGACCAGCACAGACGGGGTGGGGGCACCAGGCCCAGCAAGACCATTCCCCAGGCACAATGCAGACACTTGGACAGGCAAGCCCTGTCACCTGCCCAGTTCCCCAGCTTGCAGGGCAGCCAGGCCAGGTGGGGCTGTGGCTTGAGCATAAAAGCTGTGCTCTGCTTTCTCCACAGGAGACTATGGCCAAGCGCGTGGCCATCGTGGGGGCCGGGGTCAGCGGCCTGGCTTCCATCAAGTGCTGCCTGGAGGAGGGCCTGGAGCCCACCTGCTTCGAGCGGAGCGAGGACCTCGGGGGGCTGTGGAGGTTCACTGTAAGTGGGGTGCCCATCCGTCAGAAGCGGGTGTGGCCGCAGCAAAGAGACTGAACTTCATCGGAGGGTGGGCTGCCCTGGGGAGGGGCCAGAAACAGAGGCCAGGAGGGGCAGCCAAAACTGATGAGAGAGGAGTAGGGCACAGCCCCAGCCTGGCACCATCCGTCAGTGCCTCACTACCATCACCTGTGGCCAAGACACAGGAAGGTGCCCATGAAGGGTGGGAGAGGATGGCGGCTGGGGCAGGCTGGGGAGCTCAGGGCGAGCAGGGCAGGGCCGGGCTCTGACGCAAGGCCAGAGATGTGGCGATAGGGGTACAGGTGTAAACGTGGCCGGGGTCCATGTGTGCCTGCAGAGTTGCACGCTCCTGTCTGGCGGAGAGCAGCAGGCGCAGGGCAGGATGAACCCTGTGCTGGGCACCTGTCGTCCGGGCAGCCTCTGTCCGTGCCAACGACGGTCAGGAGCACAGAGTGTGGGCTCGGAGCCTCTTGGGTTCCTGAGCAAAGAAAGCACAGCTGGCCCCTAAAGAGTCCAGGTTTGAAATGCGATGGTCCACAGAATTTTTTCAATAAATATATTGGAAAGAGTTTTGGAGATTTGTGACAATTTAGGAAACCTCGCAGATGAACTGCATATCTAGAAATATTGAGAATTTAAGAAAGAATTAGGTATGTCATGAACACATGAAATATGCACAGACATAATCTATTTCCTTGCTTGCTGCGGTGGGATGGGCAGTGGGCTCTTAGAGGTCAAGCTTTGGGGGGTCAAAGTCACGCACGGATTTCCAACCACGTGGGCAGTCAATGCTCCGCAGCCCCACGGGGCCACAGTGAGGACGGACAGGGTGCAGGGGAGGGTGGGGCGGCCCCGGCCCCGGCGGCCCTGGCCCCCCTGACTGGCCGGGACTCTCCAAACCTCTCCTGGGAGGACAAGGACACCTCCCACCAGCCTTAGGCTGAGGAAGGAGTGCCAGGGAAGAATGAGTGGAGGCACGTGCCAGCGCCCTGAGGGCTAAGAAGGGACGCCGCACCCTCTGTCCCAGGAGCCACACTCGGAACTGGAAGACAGTGATTATTTTCTGGTTCAGTGAGCAAAGCCCGGAGAGGCCTGGTTGCAGGCTCCCCCAGTCCTCCCAGCAAAGGCCAGCTTGGTTCCCATAAAGAGCTGCAAACTTAATGCATCGGGCCACCAGATGTGTCATCGATGTGCAGAGACTGCCCCAAGGACCGGGTGGGAGAGGACATCTGCTCCACGACCCCACTGCATGTCCCAACAGGAGGGTGGGGCTCTGATGTGCATGCTGTGGCCCCCTTCATGCCCCAGAGACGTCGCCACTCGAGCGGGGTCCCCTCCCCAGAGAGTCCCACAGTCCCCCCAGCACAGCCCTGCGGGCAGGAACTACTGACCCCAAGCTGGGGCCTGGCCGCAGGAGGAAGCTGCCCGATGGGAGGGAGGGACAGTCCGCAGTCACCTGGTTACAGTGAGCAGAGCCCAGGGGCTTTGGGATCCTCAACAAAAAGGCGCCTTCTGCAGGCCACAGGTGCCTGTTTATCACTGTTGATTGAGAGAAGTGAGTTCTAGAGCCAGCTGTGCTCAAGGTGCTGTGTGACCTGGGCAGGCCCCACAGCTGTGTGCGGAGCACTGTGGGGACACAGAAAGGGGAGCTTCCTATCAGGGCAGTGGGGACGGTTAGGGTCCTGCAGGTCAGGCACTGTGCCTGAGGGCAGGATTTCATCCCCTGGAGGGAAACCAGGGAAGGCTTCATGGAAGAGATGGTGTGCCATCTAAGGATTTCAATAGGCAGGAGAGATTAAGCAGGAGATACCAGGGGTGGGGGATGCGGGGGGATCCAGTAAAGAAAGCCGGGCACAAAGGGGATAACAGTAGCTTGTCGGTGTGCCAGGCCCCGTGAGAGAGGACACAGCCAACCAGGTGTGGTACCCTCCCCGGGAGCCCCAGGACCCTTCCACTCCTCAGCACCGCTCCCTGGAGGGTGGCTCTGCATGCCCATGAAGGTCTTTCCTCTGCATACACATCCTGTCATTTATTCAACAAACATTTATTAAGCACCTACTGCATGCCTCATACACCACAGAATTTTAGATTCAGAGAGTAATACGTCACCCCTACATTGCAAGGAATTGTTCCTCAGCTATTTCTTCTTCTAGTAAACCTTCTTACAACCTTTCCTTAAAATCTTTCCTATTTTAAAAGCTCAGCAGTCTTGGTAGGTTCCCTTTTATTCATATATTCACCCAGCATTGTGAATTCCTATCATCCCCGAGGCCCCCACCATGCAGCTCTAATCTGGCAACTGGACTCTATCCTCCAGGAACTCTGACCCCCACTGGGGAGAGGAGATGGCAGAGTAAAGTGGGTCTGGCTGCTGGAAGGTGGGAAAAGAAGAAGGAAACAGTTGGGCTTGGAGAACAGGGGCTGTGCGTGTCATGACAGAGAGAATGTGTTTATTATCATTTCACATCTATTTTCCAAATGAGGGAGAGAGACCTCTGACCTGGTAAAGCTTCTCCCCATTGCTTATGATTCTCTGGGAAGACACGTGGCTCAGAAAGGCAAACGCCCACTGTCCCTGTGGAAGGTGACATGACAGACAGCATGGTGGCTGTCACTTCGGTTGCCCTGGGGCATACGCACCATGAGTATCCCTATTTATAGCCGAGGACACTGACACCCGGAGAGGCTAGGGACATACCGAGGTCACCCAGCTAGAGGTGTAGAGCTGAACGTGAGCTCAGCATCGGCCCTCCCAGAACCCGCCTCTGGGCTCCTGTGAGGGCAGGCGGCCTCTGGCTGCCGTGGGGGCCCTCGGGTCCTGGGCCTTCGCACGTTCTTTGGGACCCGAGTGAGGCAGGAAGCCAGAAACCCCGCCCTGGGGCCCTGGCTCCTTCCCTCTCTCCGCCACCCAGCACCCAGCCCCATGTTTCCTGTCAGGACACACATCTTCCCCTGCATGGCCCACCAGTGCTCAGGGGGCACGTGCTTCCCCCATGGCCCCAGGGCACGCGGCGTGGCAGACCCCCCCCAGACGGGCATGAACTGTCTTCGGTGCCCAATGCAGATGCTGAACACCCCAGACCTTGTGTTTTCCTAGGAGGAGTGATCACAGGGAGGAGAGCCAAGAGGGGGTCCTGGATTCCACCCTGAGGGCTGCTTCCCCTCGAGCTACGGCTTCTTCTCGGCTAGCATCCACGATACGTCACAGCTGACCCGTGAACAAATGTACAGGTCCCTTCAACACGGGTTTTTTTTCAGTGAATAGATTGGAAATTTTTTTTGGAGATTTGTTACAATTTGAAAAATATTTTCTTCTCTCTAGCTTACTTTTTTGTAAAAATACAGTGTAGAATACCTATAAAATGCATGCTAAGACTTCCAGTCAACAGTAAGCTATTAGTAGTGAAGCTTTGGGGGCATCATAATCTATACGTGGGCTTTTGACTGTGTCGGGGGTCAGCGCCCCTAACCCCCGCCTCGTTAAAGGATCAGCTGCATTTCACAATAGGCTTCAGTGTCTCCCAGGTTTTCCCTTCCCACCTTTCTAATTACCTTCTACAGTTTTGCAAAACAGAGTTCCTACTTCTGTTTGTTCCTCTGTTTTAAGACCCCATAGAATACACGCTTCCCTGGCTTATCCATTTCCAGTGGCCCCCTTTGCTCTTTGATGTCTAAAGGTGCCCTCACAAAATGCCAGAAATCGTTTTGAACTATTTTTACGGGAATCTTTGCATGTATTATTCACACCTTTCCCCCTTTTAAACAGTATACACTCTAAATTTAGCCTGTTATTATCACAAACTAGAAATTGACAGTCATTGCAAAGTATTATTTACCACGAGATGCTCTGAGATGCCAGAGAAAGATGAGGAAATTTTGCTGGTATTGACCCCAAAATGCCTACACCTGATGTTTTCCTCTTCCTACTATAGTTTCTTCCCTTGCTATTTGCTCTCATCTCTCCATATTATAACTTCCCATTGTGATTTTTCCTGTAACCCTGGGGAAACTTGACACTTTCAGTTAAATCAAGCAAACACTGAATCGAGTTCTAACACGTGGCTTCAGGTTTAAGGATGTTCTAAAGAATCCAGTAAGAGGGTCACCAGCCACTAAGGCATGTAGTCAATACAACTGAAGAATTGAATTTTTTATTTCATTTAATTAACTTTAAGTTAAAAATCAATCCTCAATTCAAGTTACTGGAGAAGTTTTAAGTATATTTGTTAGCAATTTGGACAGTGAATCCACTTTTTTCCAATGGAAATTCATCATTTGAATTGAGATGTGTAAAATATCCCCTGGAAATTCAGACCCTCAGCTGGGTGGGTGAGGGTGTGCACACTGAGACGCTGGTGAGGGTCTGCAGGGAGCAGGGGATGTCGTTAATAATTTTTATATTGATTACATGTTGAATTATAAGATTTTGGATCAAGCTAAGTAAAATCTACTATTAAAATTAATTCTACCTGTTTCTTTTTACTTTTTTTAAAGTGGCTCCTGGGAAACGTTAAAGCACGCATAGTAGCCCCATCACTTCCCTACAGGGCAGGGCTGATTTAGAGCCGCATTCCCCACAGCTTGGCCCATGGCCCAGCCCCTTTCCATGATCCTGCCAATGACTCCCCATGAACCCAAGTGCATAGCAACTGCCTCTTTCCATCTCCTTCTGGGCTCCGGGCTGTTTCCTATTCCGTATTTTGCAGTGACACTGTGACTCGGAGCAAGTGAGTTCAACCCAGGTTTACGTGTTAGTACATGAATGAAACTATGATTCTGCTTGTAAAACTCAGAGTGGGTCCCATGTTTGCCACCCCTCAACTGCAGGACAGCAAAGAGTCACCGTAATCCTGATCAATGTTTGATGTGTCTAGAAACCAGTGTCTGTTTTATGCATGTGCGTGCACGTGCACGCATACATACACGCTCATGTGCGTTCACTGTTTGAACAGGAACATGTCGAAGAAGGCAGAGCCAGCCTCTACAAGTCTGTGGTGTCCAACAGCTGCAAGGAGATGTCCTGCTACTCAGACTTTCCATTCCCAGAAGACTATCCAAATTATCTGCCAAATTCCCAGTTCCTGGAGTATCTCAAAATGTATGCAAACCGGTTCAACCTCCTGAAATGCATCCGATTCAAGGTAAGACATGAAACTTCATCGGGAAGTGTTCCTTGTTTTCTGTTGTCTCTCTAAGCCTGGCCCTTGGCTCTGCGGATGAGATGATGAACAGCTGGACGCCCGCCCCTTGCATGTACACCCGCCCTGAGCAGATCTGGAGGCAGAGGTGGGCACTCTGTGTAAGGTTCACAGGTATAGATTGTACTTTGACTTACTTACTTACTAAGTGGCTGAAGAGACTTAAAAATGTCAGGCCACATGCTCAGCTTGGGCCAAGTGCCCGCACATGGGGTCATTGATGACTCCCACCAGCCCCTGGGTATTCTCTTCTTGACTCTCGCCTTAGAGGAAGGACATGTGCGAAGGCCTGTACACAAGGGAGACTCTTATCTGAAGGGAATCTTCCCTAGATATCCTCAGGAACAGGAAAATCTTTGAATATTGTTCTTCCCCATCAGAGGACACAGACAGGAAGGTAGAAGGGTGGGACAAATGAATATACCTTCTTTCTTTTCTCCATTTTTCCCTTCTTCTCCAAGAGATCCACTAAAGTCCACATTTCCCTTCTCCTGGCTCGCTCCCTATCAGAAACGGGGACGGCAAGGCACTCAGAGAACAGAAGGACTGAGCAAGGGCAGCAGACAGGACTCACATTCCCAACCTTCAAAGTACTGATCAGAGCAAAATCATTATCTCAAAGAGCATCTCCACGTTCACTGCAGCCTTATTTACAATGGCAAAGCCATGGAGACCACCTAATGGCCATCAGCAGATGAGTGGATAAAATGTGAGATATGTTTATGCACACACAGTGGAATTACTCGGCCATAAAAAGAAGGAAATCCTGCCATTGGCAGTAGCATGGATGGGCCTTGAGGGCTTTATGCCAAGTGAAATAAGTTGCACAGAGAAGGGCAAATACCATATGACCTCAACTCCGTGTGGAATCTAGAAACACCGAACTCATAGAAACGGGGAGCAGAGTGGTGATTGCTGGAGAGGGGGGTGGGAATGGGTGAAGCGGGTCAAAGGCACAAACTTTGGGTTCTAAGATGAATCAGTTCCAGGGATGTGACTGTAGTTAACCACACTGGGGTATCCATACTTGAGAGTTGCTGAAAGAGTGGATCTTAAAATTCTCATCACAAGAAAACACGTTGTAACAATGATGGATGTTAACTAGGCTTTTTGTATTAATCGTTCTGATAAATACATATTTTAAATTATTACATTCTTAAATGTATGCCATGTTATATGTCAATTATATATCAATAAAACTGGAGAAAAGTAAAAGTGCTCCAGTTTTCCTTCCTTATTTTGCAAGGGACATAGTAAAAATGAAATGTTACCATAGCGAATGGACATGATCCTCAGAAATATTTTTAATGCATTAGAATTTCTGAGTCTGAAGCATTTTCTTTGCCACCTAATGTCCAAACCCATTTTAAAATAACTTTTTTAAAGAAAGAGAAAAGCTAACTGCTTGTTCCCGAGTCCAAACTTAGTCCAGTCACCACACAACATGCTAGTCAGTCGAGAGGCAGTGCTGGGAGCAGGAAAGCGACTTGATTCAGAAAGACAGCAGACCGGACCAAAAAGACGACTCCTGTCCTAGAGCCCCACCTTCACGCAGGTGGTTCTCAAGCTCCCTCTGTGCCAGGTGACGGGGATGCAGGGGAGGCAGCAGGGTGGGGGTGACTGAGGCTGCGGACGTCTGGGCCCGCCAGGGTCCCCAGAGAGCATCCCCAGGGAGCTCTGTATCCCCAGTGAGTCGGCTCGCTGACCTGGGTCTGCTCACAACGTTCCGATAGCTCCTGCACGAGGCAGTCATTTTCATACACATGTCCCTATTCCTCGGAGGCGGCAAGCTTTGGGTAAGGGGCTGTTTGCAGAAATCTCAAGCTGTAAGCAAAATCCCACCTGGTGATTGACAAGGCTGCAGGCAGGTGTGCAGGCTGAGCAGAAGCTCTTCTCTCTCGTTTCTGTCATTTGCCCCAAAGGTTGAGGCAGCACAGGACACACACAGTTTGGAGGCAGATGCCAACCTTTTCTATCTGGCCCGTGTTCACTGAAGTTTTAAGAAAGTACGTAGGAATAGCTGTCCAGAGAAGTTTTGTTTGTCTTTCTCTGTTTTTAATGGTGAACAGCTATTACTTTTAAGATAATACTAAATTTTATTTCAAAACGTTTCTAATTAATTGAAAATTTATGTCTTAAAAAGACAGAGTTGCTAATAACAAACATAGAAATCCCACGAGCGCTTCAAATACTGTAACAGGGACCCCGTTAGGAAGAACCCAAGAAGCGTGTCTCCTTAGAAACCTGAAAAGGAATGAGGCAGCCAAGTCCCCTGCTCAGTGCGTCACTGACGCTTCTGAGTCTGACTTGCAGGTTTGCGTCATGCATTTTCTGAATCAGAACCTAGAAGCCCTGGACATACATGTTCTCAGTGAAAGTGAACAACAGACTGCTCCCAAAATTTCAGGCTGTAAAGCTCGCTTTCCAGGAGCGCGACGCATTCCGTCAGACTGTTTACATGGGACCGAATTTATGTCCTCAGCTCTCCATTAGCCCGTGTCCATGTGGAGCTGTGAGAGAGAAGCTCTGCGAGAAGCACTAGAGAGGGTGATGGAAAGACACTGGGGCACCGACGAGATGCTCTTGCTTCTCACCCACGGTGAGAAGTCGAGCAAATCACTGGCAACCCCAGCCCTCACCACCTCTCCTAAATTCCCCTCTATAGCTCAGGCTTAGAACACTTCTGTCCAGGAAATTATGATTGATCTGATTGCCTGGTACCATTTCTAGGGTCACGTTTATTAATTATGTGTATCTGTGGGCATATCAGCCAGCAAGCTTGGACTGGGACCCTGGAAGCTACTCATCACGACTGGTTCTGTTTTCAGACTAAAGTCTGCAGTGTAAGCAAATGCCCCGATTTCACTGCCACCGGCCAGTGGGAGGTGGTCACCCTGCATGACGCAGAGCAGGAGGCACATGTCTTCGACGCTGTCATGGTCTGCACCGGCTTTCTCACCGACCCGCATCTGCCGCTGGGCTGCTTCCCAGGTACAGCATTTTCTACAACTGACCTTAATTTTCTCAGGAGCCGGCCTGACACTGGACGGGGCTGCAAATCCTTCCTGTGGTGCCCCCATCAAACTCATGAGGGGGTCGGGGTTTTGTTCTGACCAGCACTGTCTGTTGGTCCCCACGCTCCTTGGAGCTCCCCAGGTGTGATCTGAAACCCACTCCACCTGGAGGGCAGGGGGACTGGAAAGGGGCATCCATTCTGATGGAAGGGTGGTGGGGCGGGTGTGCGAGCAAGGGAAGCACCTGAGGCTTGTCCGGCCCCACGGGATGGGTGGATCTGCCCACTGCCGAATCCCAACAGGTTACGCAGAGGCCTCGCACGGGCCCAGCCCTGGACCTGCCCACTGGGGCTCGCTGCCGCTTCACCATCTCAAGGCTGTGCCCTGGGGGGTCCCTGGGAGATGGGAGGGCAGGGACCCCCACACTGCAAGGCTGGGGGCGGTGACCCAGTTCCAGGGTCACTGGCGGTCACGTCCTCTCAATGACCTTCCCCAACACTCTGGCCAGTTTTGCGTTTGTCCCAAACAACCTGAATAGTGAAGAGCGTGAGTTCCAGTCCACAGTGAGGTTCAGCGTCCTTCCCACAGGGACTGGCCGCACTCAGTCCACGGAGACGCGATGGGCTTGAACAGCACACTCGCCACAGCATGCAGCCAAAGCCGAGTTTGGAGGCCAGAAAGGCCGATCAATGAGCAAAGGTAGTTTGATGTTTTATAGTGGTTTATCTAGATCAGAGGTTCTTGGCCCGGCTCAGCCGTCCACAGTGAGATGGGACCTGGAGGCAAGTGAAGCGTCCGTGGGCCTCAGTTCCTTTATCTGGCTTTTGCAACCATGGTTGATGTTCATTTACATCAAATTTCAGTTGGATTGAAACTCAGAGAAAAAAGAAAATGTGTGGATTGGCTCATCTGCAGTAAGGATTCTGAAGTTAAACCTTTAGGGAAGTTTTCTCTGAATGGCCTAAGTAGGACCTGGAGCCATCTCAAGGCTCATCTTACAATAACTCCTGCCCTCTGATGGCCCTTGGTCTGCCCCAGAGGTCCCTCAATTGGGTCAAGTTGGGAGAAAGCACATCCTAAAAGCCACAGCAGAGCATCGCTGGCCTGGCTCAGCATTCTTCCCAAGGTCCTGGAACAGGCTGGACAGTCTGTGTGGCCACAGCTCCACCCCTTCTTCCCCTACAAGACAGCCCAACCCTTCATCAGCCCCTGTCTGCAGAGGAAATCCCCAAGCAGGGAAGCTTCTCCACACTCCCAGGACAGCGTGCCTGCATAGATTGCTCTAGGCATCCAGAAAGTTCCATGGCAGGGTGTACACTGCATTTGCTCGGCACCCTCAGTGCATTGCACAAGGTATTAGATCAGAGGCAGTGAGACGATATGGAGCCCGCTGGGAGAAGTGAAGCTCTGCACGGGAGAACAGAGGTGTCACAGCCTACTCGTGACCTGGAGTGACACCAGCATCGCTTCACCACACACTCAGGGACCTCCAGTGGTCCTAGGCCTGCCCCTGGTGTCGGGCAGGGCAGGCCACTTTCCCCCAGGAGCAGCTGAGCCAGCGTTCTCAGGCTTAGGGTGAGCCAGGGACCTGGGGGACAGGCTCTGGGCTATACAACCGGCCATTACACAGCGCTGGGGCTTCCGCTCACCCTTCCAGATGAAGCCTCTGGGGGTCTGGCCATTGGAAATCCCAGCTGGATGTCTGAAAGGAGCTTTGAGCCCTGAAGTTCTGACGTAGACTCGAAACGGAGTGCTCTGGGTCTCGCCGTCTGCCTGTCTGCCTCCCAGTAGGTGGTCTGCACACACTGAGGTCCTTGGTCACGGCTGAGAAGTCCACCTCACTGACCATATTCAAGAGCATGCATCATGAGCTCTGGACGGTGCTCCAGGGAGGAAGTTCCCCAAGGTCCTTCTCAAAGAAACAGGGTCGGGTTAGGATAAGGGTGCAGCTTCTCGGAGTGACTCCCTCTGCTCCTTTGGAAATACCCGGGGTGCTTCCTGACGCACGCACCCACCCAGCAATGGAAGTCCTTCTGACATCCAGACTGTCAGTCTGATGTGACGCAGCCACAGAGTCTCATTTTCATCCATTCTGACCCAGAAGAGCCTGATTCACAGAGAACCTAAGACCGCCTGACACCCGGGACAATTCTCAGCAGCCGTCTGACGCCTCTTGGGTCCTGAGCTGAGTCCTATTTTAACTTTTGCACCATTTCTAAACTCTGAATGCTCCGGATTGTGATTTAACTGAGAATCGTGTCAGACTTTCAAATGGCCGAAGGTGAACTGAAGAGCCCCAGGCCTCCGTCAGGCCACTTGCCTCAGCGTCTGCGTTCAGCCCCTGAGAACCCAGATGTTGTATCACTTTTTGCAGGAAAAAAAGCCAGGTTCTTGGTTTAACGTGTATCTTTTTGTGTCATGCAAGCTTGAGAGCAGCGTCCGAGATCCTCCACTCACAGGTGACGTTTCCACGAAACTGGGCATCAGCTGCCTGGGAGACCTCATCTCCTGTCGGCCAACCTGCCCCGGGGGACTGTCCCTTTCCGAGCCGACTCTGCTGAATGACAGTCAGACACCAGGGGGCACTACTGGCGGATTTCTCCCACATGCATCTTTTTGAACAGGGACCACATTTTACACGTCTTCCCCGACGTTACCCCACACGGTGGCAGGTGCACAGCTGATTCCAAAGGCCGGCTGAGAGGAGTGGTCCCCCTTCACCTCTGCTCCTCACCGTGGAAAGCTCTGTGTAAAACAAGTATTGGCGAAAAGAAGATCGCCATCCCGTCTGCTGCCTTATAATTTTGTTTAATTTTGTTCAATATGTCTTTATGCCACGATATTTCAGCTTGGGGTAAATGATCCAGTAAACAACACTGAAGGCCGATTGTCCCGGGTAAGTACCTCCATTAAGTAAATAATCACTCACTGATCACTGGATCCTGTGAAGCCATGTGTTCAGATGTCAGATTTCCTTAAAACTGAGTATGCTATTAAAAACAGCCCAAGTAATCCTGGTGCCATTAACTGAATGATGCTTCTGTTTCATTCACTGATCCTGTAAATTCTCTTTTTGACCTCTTTTTCTATAGGTATAAATACCTTTAAAGGCCAATACTTTCACAGCCGACACTATAAACATCCAGACATATTTAAGGACAAGAGAGTTCTGGTGGTTGGAATGGGGAATTCTGGCACAGACATCGCCGTGGAGGCCAGCCACCTGGCAGAGAAGGTACCCTTAGCCGTCACTTCGCGAAGAGCTGCAGCTTAGGATATGCACCTCAGGACACGGTGCTGGCCAGGTGGCAGATGATGGGGACATGGGGAGCCAGACACACACGCGTTTGAGGTCGTCTGCTCCTTGGTGCTCACCAGCTGTACTGTGGACCCCAGAGGCTGCCTTTCCTCCCAAGAGTGTCTCTGTTTGTCCTTCCCCCATCACCCCACAGAGACACCAGAGGCATCTGCTTCTCACCCAGCCCCACTGGCCAGAAATTCCATGAGGTTTTCTGTGCCCAGGCCTCCTGCCTGCTTCCTGCTTTCCTTGCCGATTGCCCCCACGGTCTGGCCCTCCTCCCAGTGACCCCTGCAGAGAGGTACCACTCACTGGGCCTTGTCTGTGCTGGGGCAAAATGCCTTCTTCCCCATGCCCCCCACAGGTCCTCTGAAGGGCCTGCTCTCGTTGGCACACGCCCACCTTTAAAGACCTCCAACCACTCCCCTTGCCTAAGAAAGTAATACATTGCAGCTGTCTGAGGCCTGCCCAGGGGTCCTTGATAATCTGGTCCAAATTGCCTTCTGAGCTTTATCCCGGCTGCCTTCCTGCCCGTCAGCTCAGCCTGCGGTAAAGGGGGCCCTCCCAGCGCGTCTGGCTGCCTGAGCTTCTCTCTACCTCCGCCTTTGGCTCATCCTCTTTGTCTCCATCTACATCCCAGCTTCCTCTCCCCAGCAGTGATCTCTCCCTGGGAAGAATTTACGTAATACTTCTAATTTGCACTCCTCGGTCTACACTCTTTAATTCTTAGTATTGTTAGTTGCCTGTTACGGATACATTTCCTCTCCAACTCTGCTACAAATTCACTGAGAGCCATCGGCCAATAAATGCGCATTGGCTGTTGGCTTCTGATGGGCCAAACGATGTGCCTGGCCTGGGGACACACCGGAGAACATGACAGGACGAGCCCAGAGCAGCTGCCGTGAGCGTGCGGCGCAGGCAACAGGCCCCAGTAAGCAAAGGGGTGATGAGCTCCCCACTGCGCGAGCAGGACAGCTGTGAGGGGGGGTGGATTGTGAGTGCAAAACTGATACTTCCTTCTGGGACTTCCAAGAAAAGGGGCTTGATCACTACATTGTGGATTGGTGGATGTGTGGATGGATTGATTTGGAGAGACATAGCAGGTGGGTGGAGTTATCCTGAAGGAAGAGAAAGGAGGTCCAGAAACAAAAATTAACTCGGTCCCACCCACCATGACCACACGTGGGTAGCTTATGATCATGTCTATTTCTCTAACCATGTTTCTTCAGACAGAAAATACCTTATTCCTGTGTCCACAGAGAACCCCTTTGGGTTCGGACCATAGTTCACGTCCTGCCCTCCTGCATCCTGCACGCGAGGGCGAGTCCAGGGCATGCGCATCTTGTGTCGGGATTGCTGATGTGCACCCCACATCCCCATCACATATTCTGCTCCAGTATGAGGCCCAAGTGCACAACTAAAACTGACTCCATCAGGCCCGGGTTCTCAGGGAAAAACCACCTGTTAAAGTCGCTGTTTTCTATCTGCAAAGTAACAGATGGCTTGGCTTTTGATTCTTAGATGGGTATGTAGACACCTCCTTATTGCGTGGGTACCACCACCACTATTGGCTGGTGGGCCCAGTCAGCCAGCAAACGCAGCCAGTCTGCAGAAAGAAAATCCCACCAAAACCAACTGTGTCTCTGATTTTTACTGTCAGCTGCACAAGATCCCACTGGAACCTTTGCAGACACCCTCTCCTGCTGCCACACCCTTTCTCATTGCCACAGTGACTTCTGCACAAAGTTGTGACCCCCTGCTCACTGTCCCCACAGGAGACTAAGCCCCTCGGGCTCACCACAGCCTCTCATGCACCAGGGTCGGGCCCAAGGTGTTTTTCCATCCATTACCTTAAAAGAAAAATTAAAATAGCTCTCTGCTCAGGGTCATGTGGTGAGGGTGCAGATGCCGTGGTCTGCCCAGTTCCCAGGCACCACGCAAGCTGAGGGTCCTCTGTCTGCCTGCAGGTGTTCCTGAGCACCACCGGAGGGGCCTGGGTGATCAACCGGGTCTTTAGCTCAGGACACCCATGGGACATGGTGTTCACGACACGGTTTCAGAACATGCTCAGAAACTCCCTCCCGACTCCAGTCATATCTTGGTTGATCGCAAGAATGATGAACAGCCGGTTCAATCACGCAAATTACGGCTTGCTGCCAGAAGACAGGTAAAACCCGTGCATCTGCCGAGGGCTGTCGGGAAGGAGCCTCCGTCCTTCCAGGAAACCCAAGCCAGGCAAACACCTGGCATGGCTGAAGGTGAAGGGAAATTTCACATGAGTTCACTTCATCATAGTAGCCGACAATTTTGACTGAATTTTCGGTGAGTGAAATATGTGCCTCATCTTGTCAACATCCCTCTAAGTGAGTATCAGTATGACCTCCCTTTCACTATGGGTGAACCGAGGCTTGGTAAGGCCCAGGCACTCGCCCAGCCTGCTGGGTGGCCTGCGCCCCGGCCCTAGTAGGGCACCTGGGCCTCAGCGGCAGCCATCCAAAAAACTACTTTGTCCAGAGTTCTTTTGATGAAAGGAACACACTAGCCTTGTGTCCTGTCCTGGAGGTGGCACCCTGACCCGCACGCCCGGGCTAGCCCAAGGGAGTGTCCCAGGATGCAGGGAGAGGCTGGGCTGCAGCAGGTCACCGGCGGCCCCTGTCCCCCGTGCGCCTGTGCAGGATACAGCTGAGGGAGCCGGTGCTGAATGACGAGCTCCCGGGCCGCATCCTCACTGGGAAAGTGCTCATCAGGCCGAGCGTGAAGGAGGTGCGAGCAGGCTCCGTCAGGTTTCACGACAGCCCCCAGGAGGAGCCCGTGGACATCATCGTCTTTGCCACCGGGTACACCTTCGCCTTCCCCTTCCTGGATGAAGCTGTGCTGAAAGTTGAGGATGGCCAGGCCTCGCTGTACAAGTACATCTTCCCCACACATCTGCAGAAGCCAACCCTGGCCGTCATCGGCCTCGTCAAACCCCTGGGCTCCATGATACCCACGGGGGAGACGCAGGCCCGGTGGGCCGTCCGGGTTCTGAAAGGTGAGTGCACAGGAAATCGCAGGCCATTTGCTTCCAGTCTGCCCAGCTATGTGGGATGCCAGAGACCCTGAGACCAGCCCCAGCGTCTCTCTAAGGCACAAAATCTTTAAAAGCAGAATCCGTTCTGTTGGTCTCTGTGAAGTATACGCCTAACAGATTGGAGCTATTGCCAGCACAAAAGATAAATCAGAGGTCAAAAATGTAAGTTGTGTCTACCTGTTAGTTTGACCGAATCAGCTGGTTCAATCGAAACTAAAAAGTTCAAAAGTGACAAAATTCAGTGGTGGGATGGGCTGGACGCTGGTCTCCGCTGGCGGCACACTGCTGGGGGGCCCACCAGTCCTGCCAGTCTCTGTGCAGAGCAGGAAGCAGCTGGGCACTGGAAATAGAGGCTGAGCCGCAGCAAAGGATCTTTACCCGCCAAGTGCAGTCACATCTCTGTTTTACAGGTGTGAATAAGTTACCGCCACCCAGTGTCATGACAGAGGAAGTGAGTGCAAGAAGACAGAACAAGCCCAGTGGGTGAGTCACCTGCTTATGTCCCCTTTGAGCTGCAACCAAAATTGGTGGGACAATTGCAAAGAGAAGTGCATTAGTGGGCAGAGAGAAGCACCTAGGACTCAGAGGAAGAAACTAGGGCAGCCTGTCCGGGAAGAAAAGAGGGATGGGATGGAAGGTTTGTGTCCCAGAACATCAGGTCACTTTGTTTCACTGCTAGGGCATCACACAGAGTGAAATTATCCAGGCAGAGGAAAATAAATAGCCTATGATTTCACTTACACAGGGAATCTAAAAACAAAACAAATGAACAACACAGCAGTAGGCTCATAGCTACTACAGAGGGACTGGTGGCTACCGTGGGGAGTTTGGGTTGGGTGGGAGAAATAGGTGAAGGGGACAGAGACACAAAATCTCAATCATAATATGAACTAGTCACAGGGATGGAAGTGCAGCACAGAGAACGTGGACAGTGATTCTGTAACATCTTCCTATGTGACAGTAACTGCATTAGTGGAGTAAGGATTTAATACTGCAGATCACTGTCCAGTCACTGGGTTGTACACTTGAAACCAGTATAGTATTGTATATCAACTATGCTACAGTAAAAAAAAATTAAAAAGCAAACCTGAGACCACGCTTATGAAGCACCATGGCAACGTGGGTTCTGAACCAGATGTAATTAACCCTCTTCGACCAGTCACATTCCACACCTTGCCCACCAGCTCTGACACGGGTCCCACCCACTCTGCCCATCTTCACCATTTTGCTCCGATTGCTACCCTGCAGCGGGCATCTGCAAGCAACTGCAGGCCCAAAGCCCACCTCCTGTCCTTGTCTTTTTTGTATTTAAATGCTTGGAAACAAAAGAATATTTTGGGATATGTGAAAATCATATAAAATTAAAATGACAGTGGCCATAAGCATTATTAAAACACAGCCTCCCTCGTTCACCTGTATTGTGTGGCTGCCTTCAGGACACACAGCGGAGCTGAGGGCTTGGGGTGGAGCCTGAAGCCCTCGTCCTGCAGAATAAGCCTGCTAACCCCTCCCAAGAGTAGAGGCTTCCTTGGGAGAGAGGAGGGGAGGTACCTGGCCAGTGAAGGAGGGGAATTGGGACCCCCACTCTCACCCCAAATCCAACTAAAACATCTCTGGCTTTATCTGCTTTCCGGCTTATCCGTTTGGAGCTTTAATATATGAATTTTCACCTAAAGGAAAAGGTTTATTATCACTGCTTTAAGAAACTTATCACATCTCTGATTCATGTATGTTGCCAAACGCCACGTGCTGATCTAGCCTTGTAAAGCGCTACACCCCAGAACAGTGAAAGCACTTTAGATGTCTCTTCATCATCCTCAACCTGGAATAGGATTTGATCTCCACTGCGGAATTCCAGCAGAACACAGGTGATCGGTTAGAAGGACACGGTGCAGGAGCTCCTCCTCCCACAGGCCAGTCAGGGACGTTAGGGACCAGCAGTGCTACAGGGAATTTCACCCTGTGATTTCTGTGGATTTTCACTTTATCTAAAGCTAGCCAGAACTAAGTTTTAGAAAGATTTAGGAATAGATGAATTATGCAAAATATAATTTTTTCTAGAAGTTGCTAATCATCTGACAAAAGACTAAAATAATATTAGACACATCGTGAGCTTTGGAGCACCATGTCCATAAAGGGTCCTCCCAAGGAGCCCACGTGGCACCGAGATAACACGAGACTGTCCACAGCTGTGGCCTGGAGGGAAGGACGCAGAGGCATCTGAGCTCTGTGGTGTCCATTCACTCTTGACACTCACTTGCTCTGAGCGACCTTTTTTACCTTTTTGTCCTCCCTCTAACCCCTCTTCCTTTTATAAAGGTTTGGCTTGTGCTTCTGCAAAGCTCTGCAGACAGATTACATCCTGTACATGGACGAGCTGCTGACCTACATCGGGGCGAAGCCCAACCTGCTCTCAATGCTCCTGACGGACCCACGGCTGGCCTTGGCCATCTTCTTCGGCCCGTGCACACCATACCAGTTCCGCTTGACCGGCCCGGGGAAGTGGGAAGGAGCCAGAAATGCCATCCTGACCACGTGGGACCGAACGTACAAGCCCACCAAAACCCGAGTTGTACAGGAGCCCCCGTCACCCCTGGCGAGCTCGCTCAAACTCTTTGGTGCCCTGGCTTTGCTCCTGGCCGTTGTCCTGGTCTTCCTCTGAGGGGGGGTGACCGAGGGCTCGTCAGACGCACCCCGTACTTGCACAGGCTCCAGTTTGCCCCTGCACACCACAGCCCACCTAGCGGGAACCACCCCGAGTATCCGAGGCCCCTGCCCTGCCCCGGCCCCAGGCTTCCACTGCGGCCCTGAGCCCTCCAGCTCCACCTGCTTCCAGTGCTTGAGGAAGACAGCAGTTTGTGTGCATTTGAAGGCTGCTGGGAGGCCTCAGGTACACCCTAGAAGACCTGTCCCAGGCAGCACCCTGAGCAATCACACCTCTTTCCCGTATAGACTGCTTCCGTAGACCTCCACTAAAGCCCCCTACTTTGCAAAAGATTTTCCTGTGCTGAAATGGTGTTCTTATGGTATCAGCTAATTAAAAATAAAAAGAAAGAAAAAAACCTAGAAGTTGATTGCTTCAAGTGGCCTTTTATTCTCCTTCAGAGTTGGGGAAAGACGAGGGGAACAGTGAGGATGGCCCCTGGGGTGCGGGTTTGGTAAGTGAGTGCCTCTAGGGACTGTTGCTGTGTGGGGTGCCTGCTCCCCCAGAAGCCGGCTCCCTCCCTCCGCCCCTGGAGCCTCCCCCCAGGAAGAGGAGCTGCTGGAGCCTCCTTCCCCCAAACGGAGCCTCTCCTGTACTCCTGTAGGGTCGCCCAAAGTCAAGTGCAGGTCACCAGAGAAAGCCCACGGCCAGCAGGTCTTTGACAGGGAGAAACAGGGAGAGAAGAGAAAGAAGGCCAAGAGCGAATCTGTCAAAAGCAGGTTTTGAGCAAGCCAGACCCAGCGCTTGATGCTCTGTTACACCAGCCAGCGAGCAGGCACCCAGTGCAGGAGAGGCTGCCTCCACTCCCTGCTCCTCCAGCCCCTCTTTTCTGTCGCTTTCCTACTTTCCTCCTGACCTTGTTAACATGTGTTCACTTGTTAACATGTGTGACACTACTGTTGAGAATAAGAAATACGCATTTGGTCTTGGCCCCCGTTGCTGGAACAGAATCCCCCAAGTGTGGAGAGCATCGTGGTGGCCTGTGACATTAACGTGTGCCTGGGCTGAACCTACCACGGGGCTGCTCCCAGGAGAAACAGCCCTGGATTCAAGGGGTGGAGCCGTGAGTCCCTCGCCCAGGCTCTGGGAGGGGAAGGGGCTGGAGGCTGAATCAGTTGCCAAGGGCCAATGACTTAAATCAATCGCGCCTGTGGGATGAAGTCTCCATAACGCCCCAAGGATGAGCTTCTGGATGGGCGGACACCAAGAGGGAGCGAGCGCAGCAACTTAGAGAGGGTGCAGAGGCCCTGCGCCCTGCCTGTGCACAGTCCCCACAGCTCCTCCTGAGCTGCACCCTTTTGTAGTAAAACCTGCAACCGACTGAGTAAAATGTTTCTCGGAGTTCTGTGAGCCACTCTAGTAGATATGAACCCGAGGAGGAGGCTGTTGGAACCTCAGTCTACAGCTGTCTAATTTGCATCAGGAGGGCACAGTTCTGTGGGGCTGAGCCCTAATCTGTGGGGTCTGGTGCTCTCTCTGGGTAGACAGCATCAGAACTGGGCTGAACTACAGGACACCCCACTGGTGCCCAAGAATTGCTCAGAGATGGGGGGAGTCCCCACATACACATTGGAATGGGTGCAGAACCCTGGCATAGACATTCATAATGAGAAATCGCCCTCTGAGCACACTCCAGATGATTTCCGGAAATGCGTTTCTCTCCCTCACAACAGAGCTGGCATTTAGCATCCTCTCAACTTCACTGGGGAGGCTCGGTGCCCAAGGGGAAACATGGCAGTCCAACAACCCAGTCCACAGGGGCACCACGAGAGCACATCTACTGTCCTGTTCATCCTTGAGGGACTGGACATACAGGTGGACAACAGCCAGGCTGCCTGCAACAGACTGACCCACCCCTTGGCAGCCCCAGCCCAAGACAATCAGAACCTGGGCACTGGGCTCCAGCCCCCCTAATTTTTGTCCCCTCTTCCCACCAAGGACCCACCAAGAACCCAGTGTATTTCCCAAACCGTCCCTTATGACGCCATGCCTCCAAGTAGCCTGTCCCCACCTTCTGCATGTGACACCCTCCCACAGGGTATCTGACTCCCACCCCTTCCTCCTCTGTAAACAAAGACCCTGCCTGCCGTTGAATTTCTGCGAAGGTAGCAGCTGGTTTCCGCCACGGCTCTGTCTCCATGGGGGGGATGTGCTGCACAGGGAGACTCTCCGAAGGGGGTGCCAAGTTACTATGTGACAGGAACAATGCTTGTCCCAGCTGTTCCATTGTAAGTAGGCGTCTGTGTGTTACATCAGCTTCCCTTTTACTGACTGCGTCTTCATCTATCTGTGTCTGTGCCTAAAGCTCTCCACACCTGTATCTCTATCTCCTAGTCTCCAGTGAACCTCTCCTCGCAGTTCCTTGTGGTCTGACTCGCATCCAGTTCCCCTTCTAAGCAATCATTTGCCTGAGGGATGGGGCCCTCCTGTGACAGGGGGCCCACGCCTGGAGCTGGGGTGGGGTCAGCCACCCCGAGAGGTCAGAGCTGCACAGAGCAGTAGCGGGCCTCTGGCACGGCGTCTCTCCCATCCCCAGGACTCCTGTCATCACCCTCAGCGGTTTCAGACCAAGCAGACGCGCCCCAGGGCATGTCCCCTGGGCCCCCTGGCCTGGTGGCCCTGACGACCCCCTCCTGTGCCTGCTGTGTTCACCCCAGACGGCTGCTGTGCAGCAGAGCCTCGTCCACCGCAGAAACCTTTCCTCCTTGCCCTCCATGCGCGGTTGGCTAGTGCCATGAAGAAATGAATTTTTAATTTTATTTAATGTTGATCAATTCAAATCTAAGCTGAAACAGCTTTACATGGCAGGGGCTCCTGCTGCGCGCGAGCCCCGGCCTCGCCTTCTCACCCAGCGCACATTCCCCGCCAGCCGCGTCGGCCTCTTCCTGCTGATCCTCTAACACAAGATGCTCTCCGAATCCCTGGACTCGACGCACACACTCTCCCACCTGCCGCTGCCCCACCGGCCACCATTCTTCCCTCGTTCCCTCGGCACCCAGCTCAGCTCGCATGCACTCCCCGCCTATGGCCCTTTACTCACCCGTACCTGCTGGCGGGCTTCACCTGGGGTCAAGACCCTGCTCTCCACCTCTGTCACACCTCTGCCCGCGTCCTGGGCCTCAGGGAGAGGAGACCCCCACCCTAGCCCACGGCTCTTCGACTCATGCCTGCCCTCCTGCCGCAAGTCCCAGTAGGATCCCCGGGATGACCATTCTGCATCGTCTCTGACCACCACCTCTGTGCGTCCTTCCCACCCATTCTCAGATAAAAACATTATTGAGGGTCAGCGAGTTCCCGCCCCCCACCCGCATCTGCCCGCAGCCACCCCCACAGCCCCCCTCCCAACCCCTCCCCCAGCTTGTTCACTTTCCCCTTCTACCGGATCATCCTCCACCGTATATAAATATGCCACAATTCCCTGTTTTTAAAAACCCTCCCTGACCACGCTTCCCCTTCAGCAAACATTTTTGTACAGTCGAGCGACATGATTCAACGTATGATTCCGAAAGATCATTCGGATTACAGGGGAGTCCGTGGAAGTAAGGACGCTAATCAAAGGCCTGTGGCAGGAGGACAGCTCCAGCAGCATCCATCAAGCCAGGTGACATCGGCCAGTCTTGGACTGGACCCTTTGAGTCTGGAGAACTTACAGAATATAGCAAAGTAAAGAGACCCAACAGCTAAATGCAATTTGTAAACTTTGATTGGCTTCCAAGCACTCAATCGAGAAGAAAAAGAAAAGAGATGGTACCTGCCTGACATGCCACTGCAGACTTCGGTCGTCCGTCCCTTCCCTTGCTGCGCCCCGGGCGGACCCGAGCCGCCTGCTCGGACGTGTCTCACCAGCTCCCTCTGCCGCCCGGTCCGAAAGGGTGGACCTGCTTCAAGGCCCCGCGAGCTCTGACCCCTAACCTGGCTGCAGAACCCCGGACGCGGGGGGCTGCCCTCTGCTCCGGACAGCGCCGCCCACCCCCGGCCCGGGGCTCGCAGCTCCTGGCCGGCCTCCCCGAGGGGCACCCCGGCGCCCGCGGGCCGCGGCTCGGGGAGACTGGGCGCCGCCTACCGGCCACGGCGGGAAGAGCGGCCGCCGCGCTCGGCCTCTGCCCGGAACCGTGACGTGCGGGGGGCGGGCGACGGGCTGGAGGCCGCGTGCGTCCCTCGAATCCAGAGGCCGCCTTCCAGCGCGTCACAGCCCCGCCGGGGGGTACGGAAGTCGGAGGCCTGCGCTGCCAGCCCGCGTCCTCGGTGAGTCCGCTCCCCCGCTGCCCGCGGAGGGACAGGAAAGGCGGGTGGGTTTGAACGGGAGCACTTGGTCCAAGCCTGCGCGCCTTTATTTTCCTTTTAGAGCGAGCGTTTGAGTTTCGGTACCTTTTGGCTATTGGGAGATAATTTGTTGGAGTATCTGCTCCGCGTCAACAAGGTAAGTGTCCCGGGTCCTTTTTCTTTAACGGGGAGTGTTTCCAGAAGTTGCTTTTGCAGAGGTTAATGTTCTCGGTGAGCGCATTCCTTAAGAGTGAGGGCTTCCCCTTTGCAAGAGCCCCTTGGTTAGCCTTAAAGCAACAGGACTGAAGAGCAATTTCGGAAGCGAAGGAAGGTGCCGTGCAGGAGGAAGCCGCCCGTGAGGGAGGGTCGTGAGAGGGGTTTTCTGTGACTCCAGGCGCACCTCTGACGCCACCTTATGGATAAGATGGGCATGCCCTGTGGTGGGAAATAACAAAATACTCCACAAGTGTTAGGACAGGAAATATAATAACAAACTTAAAGAGCATGCGTGGTGACAAGAACCACAAACAGATCAAATTCCAAACTCAAATAAGCCATAATTAATAACATGATTTGCAAATCACCCAAATCTCCCTGTGTCTCAAAAATGATACCTATATTTTCTGGTCTGTCAGCTATGGGATGGAGTTTTCAGGGTGTTCAGAAGTCCAGTTCAATAGCCTAGGGCTCATCTCTACCAAGGAACTCAGATATGCACAACCTTTGAGCTACAGAGGGCCTTAGTTGATAGCAAACGTTATAGTTTACAAAAAGCTGGCACAAAGCCCTGCCTCCCGGCCTTCAGGCCTGCAGTACCCTCTGTTGTCTTCCAGTTCACATCTATTTTGGGCACCAATTTACTTGGCATTCGTTCATAAAAACAGGTATCTCAAGCTAGAAGGGAACAAGCTATCAGAACCTCTATTTTACAAATGTGGGAACAATCTCACAGGGAAATTGAGACTTTTCCAAGTTTACGCAGGAGCGGAGCTAGAACTCAGATCTCCCAGTTTCTGTATTGACTAGGCACATTTTTAAGTGGCTGCCCCCAACTCGGAAATTCATCATCTGCAAACACGGTGTGGTGTTTCGCGGTGCGGACTCCCAGTTTACTCTTTCTCCCCATACAGTCTCTAAGGGACAGGTGTCTTTGCCCAGGAAATATGCAGCCCACCCCACATCTCCAAAGAGGTCTCCAGGCAGAGCGCGAGCCCAGTAAACCCGCTTTGTGTCTGTGCCCCGGGGCTCTGACCCCACCAGGCACAATTGCAAAGCCATAAAGACACACCTGGAGGTGCAACAGCAAATCTGAGTCAGGTGAAGGAAGGCGCTCCCCCCTCGGGCTCCCAGCCCAACAGCTGTGCACGCCTAGGCTCAGAGGCACTCCTCCGGGCTCAGCCTCTTGCAAACGGGGAGGCCTAAGGCAAATGGCGATGCTTTAGTTCTCCCACTTGGCTGGTGCTCAGGGCTCAGTGAATTCTGCCTCTCTCGGTTCCTCAAGGCTAATACCACTGGGATGAGTGGCAGCCAGGACAGAGGTCACGTCAGGGCCATACAGCGAGCTCTGTCCCCTCAGAGCATGTCTGCCAAGGTGAGCCAGAGCCCTGGGGTCTCAGCTACTCTTTGTGCTTTGGGGCTGGTCAAGGCTATGGAGGGAAAAGCAGGACTTGCAGCCGAGTCCACCGACATGCCAAGATCCTCTGTGGGATGTGAACCTGGTTTTCCAGGATTAGCTGAGTTCAGCCCACCTGGTCAAGGCAAAAGCCAAGAAAGCCTAATCACAAAATTGAGAAGACAGGTCCCAGGTCCCCGTGACACTTCCCACCTCCCGTGTCTGCTGAGGAGCACGCCTACCCACTTTCCTGCATGGCCTCACCGCGAACTGTGTCCCACTTGGCTTTCCTTGGGGACTGTGTTCTGTGTTACGGTCAATCTTGCCTCTGTGCAAGGCTAAGAACCACTCCCTCAGTTCACATAATGTCAGCTTCACAGAGGGCCTGGCTCATGGCCAGCTACTCTTCAGAACATTAGATTCTTTGAATAAAAACTGGCATTTCTGCTGAGGGTGGAGAAGGTAGGTGACAGCAGACAGGGTCCAAAGTTCAAAGGATCAAGGTCCCAGCTACACAGGCTCACAAAAGCTATTTAATCGAGCATGTACTCTATGACCCTTCCCAACTATATCACTCATGTAATGTCACAACAAATACTCAAAATAGGCTGTTATTATTATTTCCACCCCTGTTGTACTGATGGGAAAACAGCTACCCCAGGTCAAACCATTAATCAGTGAAGCCAGGACCCAGGTTGCAATGGCCGTATTTCAGAGCCCTCGTTTTTCACCAAAATGTGATTCCACCTCCACTTAAAGATGAAAGGATGCATTCTTATCACCGTAAAGGCTGAGTCCTGGGTCCAGGGCTCCGTCCAGCCTCGTGCACAGATGCTGTGCTCGGCCTTCCTCCCACAGACCACACGATGGCCAAGCGAGTCGCCGTGGTTGGTGCTGGAGTGAGCGGCCTGTCCTCCATCCGGTGCTGCCTGGACGAGGGCCTGGAACCCACCTGCTTCGAGAGGAGCGAGGACATCGGGGGCCTCTGGAGGTTCACTGTGCGTAGCTCGTACCCCGTCCTTCAGCCGGCCTGGCTGCTTGCTCTGGCCCCGCTCTCCGGTCCGAAAGGGTGGACCTGCTTCAAGGCCCCGCGAGCTCTGACCCCTAACCTGGCTGCAGAACCCCGGACGCGGGGGGCTGCCCTCTGCTCCGGACAGCGCCGCCCACCCCCGGCCCGGGGCTCGCAGCTCCTGGCCGGCCTCCCCGAGGGGCACCCCGGCGCCCGCGGGCCGCGGCTCGGGGAGACTGGGCGCCGCCTACCGGCCACGGCGGGAAGAGCGGCCGCCGCGCTCGGCCTCTGCCCGGAACCGTGACGTGCGGGGGGCGGGCGACGGGCTGGAGGCCGCGTGCGTCCCTCGAATCCAGAGGCCGCCTTCCAGCGCGTCACAGCCCCGCCGGGGGGCGCGGAAGTCGGAGGCCTGCGCTGCCAGCCCGCGTCCTCGGTGAGTCCGCTCCCCCGCTGCCCGCGGAGGGACAGGAAAGGCGGGTGGGTTTGAACGGGAGCACTTGGTCCAAGCCTGCGCGCCTTTATTTTCCTTTTAGAGCGAGCGTTTGAGTTTCGGTACCTTTTGGCTATTGGGAGATAATTTGTTGGAGTATCTGCTCCGCGTCAACAAGGTAAGTGTCCCGGGTCCTTTTTCTTTAACGGGGAGTGTTTCCAGAAGTTGCTTTTGCAGAGGTTAATGTTCTCGGTGAGCGCATTCCTTAAGAGTGAGGGCTTCCCCTTTGCAAGAGCCCCTTGGTTAGCCTTAAAGCAACAGGACTGAAGAGCAATTTCGGAAGCGAAGGAAGGTGCCGTGCAGGAGGAAGCCGCCCGTGAGGGAGGGTCGTGAGAGGGGTTTTCTGTGATTCCAGGCGCACCTCTGACGCCACCTTATGGATAAGATGGGCATGCCCTGTGGTGGGAAATAACAAAATACTCCACAAGTGTTAGGACAGGAAATACAGTAACAAACTTAAAGAGCATGCGTGGTGACAAGAACCGCAAACAGATTAAATTCCAAACTCAAATAAGTCATAATTAATAACATGATTTGCAAATCACCCAAGTCTCCCTGTGTCTCAAAAATGATACCTATATTTTCTGGTCTGTCAGCTATGGGATGGAGTTTTCAGGGTGTTCAGAAGTCCAGTTCAATAGCCTAGGGCTCATCTCTACCAAGGAACTCAGATATGCACAACCTTTGAGCTACAGAGGGCCTTAGTTGATAGCAAACGTTATAGTTTACAAAAAGCTGGCACAAAGCCCTGCCTCCCGGCCTTCAGGCCTGCAGTACCCTCTGTTGTCTTCCAGTTCACATCTATTTTGGGCACCAATTTACTTGGCATTCGTTCATAAAAACAGGTATCTCAAGCTAGAAGGGAACAAGCTATCAGAACCTCTATTTTACAAATGTGGGAACAATCTCACAGGGAAATTGAGACTTTTCCAAGTTTACGCAGGAGCGGAGCTAGAACTCAGATCTCCCAGTTTCTGTATTGACTAGGCACATTTTTAAGTGGCTGCCCCCAACTCGGAAATTCATCATCTGCAAACACGGTGTGGTGTTTCGCGGTGCGGACTCCCAGTTTACTCTTTCTCCCCATACAGTCTCTAAGGGACAGGTGTCTTTGCCCAGGAAATATGCAGCCCACCCCACATCTCCAAAGAGGTCTCCAGGCAGAGCGCGAGCCCAGTAAACCCGCTTTGTGTCTGTGCCCCGGGGCTCTGACCCCACCAGGCACAATTGCAAAGCCATAAAGACACACCTGGAGGTGCAACAGCAAATCTGAGTCAGGTGAAGGAAGGCGCTCCCCCCTCTGGCTCCCAGCCCAACAGCTGTGCACGCCTAGGCTCAGAGGCACTCCTCCGGGCTCAGCCTCTTGCAAACGGGGAGGCCTAAGGCAAATGGCGATGCTTTAGTTCTCCCACTTGGCTGGTGCTCAGGGCTCAGTGAATTCTGCCTCTCTCGGTTCCTCAAGGCTAATACCACTGGGATGAGTGGCAGCCAGGACAGAGGTCACGTCAGGGCCATACAGCGAGCTCTGTCCCCTCAGAGCATGTCTGCCAAGGTGAGCCAGAGCCCTGGGGTCTCAGCTACTCTTTGTGATTTGGGGATGGTCAAGGCTATGGAGGGAAAAGCAGGACTTGCAGCCGAGTCCACCGACATGCCAAGATCCTCTGTGGGATGTGAACCTGGTTTTCCAGGATTAGCTGAGTTCAGCCCACCTGGTCAAGGCAAAAGCCAAGAAAGCCTAATCACAAAATTGAGAAGACAGGTCCCAGGTCCCCGTGACACTTCCCACCTCCCGTGTCTGCTGAGGAGCACGCCTACCCACTTTCCTGCATGGCCTCACCGCGAACTGTGTCCCACTTGGCTTTCCTTGGGGACTGTGTTCTGTGTTACGGTCAATCTTGCCTCTGTGCAAGGCTAAGAACCACTCCCTCAGTTCACATAATGTCAGCTTCACAGAGGGCCTGGCTCATGGCCAGCTACTCTTCAGAACATTAGATTCTTTGAATAAAAACTGGCATTTCTGCTGAGGGTAGAGAAGGTAGGTGACAGCAGACAGGGTCCAAAGTTCAAAGGATCAAGGTCCCAGCTACACAGGCTCACAAAAGCTATTTAATCGAGCATGTACTCTATGACCCTTCCCAACTATATCACTCATGTAATGTCACAACAAATACTCAAAATAGGCTGTTATTATTATTTCCACCCCTGTTGTACTGATGGGAAAACAGCTACCCCAGGTCAAACCATTAATCAGTGAAGCCAGGACCCAGGTTGCAATGGCCGTATTTCAGAGCCCTCGTTTTTCACCAAAATGTGATTCCACCTCCACTTAAAGATGAAAGGATGCATTCTTATCACCGTAAAGGCTGAGTCCTGGGTCCAGGGCTCCGTCCAGCCTCGTGCACAGATGCTGTGCTCGGCCTTCCTCCCACAGACCACACGATGGCCAAGCGAGTCGCCGTGGTTGGTGCTGGAGTGAGCGGCCTGTCCTCCATCCGGTGCTGCCTGGACGAGGGCCTGGAACCCACCTGCTTCGAGAGGAGCGAGGACATCGGGGGCCTCTGGAGGTTCACTGTGCGTAGCTCGTACCCCGTCCTTCAGCCGGCCTGGCTGCTTGCTCTGGCCCCGCTCAGGCAGGTGGCTTCAGCCTACCTTGGTGAGCAAGGGGGCAGCCCCCACAGCGTCATGCGGGTCTGCGGGCGCGTGCTGACACATGCAGGATGCGGGCTGGCGGGCAGTGAGCCTGGAGTGTTGGCGGGCAGGGTGGGTCAGCTCAGGCAGACAGAGAGGAAGGGCGTTTCAATGGTTTGGACCAGGACAAAGCCCAGTGGCACCAGTGAAGGAGGAGCAGATGGCCCCTCGGGAAGGACGGAGCTGGCCAGGCGGGGGAGTCCCCGGCCCCGCACTGCTCAGGTCTTGGGAGGAGAGTTGGCAAAGGTGGGGAAGGGTCCAGGCCTTGGGAGACCCCAGATCATCAGGACAGGAAGAGCCCAGCCCCAGCCCATCTTAGGAGGGGAGTGAGCAGCCGAGGGTGTCAGGCACAGGGCTAGGCCAGCCTCAGGCACTCGAGCATCATGCAGTGGGGCCGGCAGTGGCCAGGACTGGCCCTGGTTCCTGGAGTAGCAGGGCCTCCAGAGGGATCAAGGGAATAAGGAGTAGCCATCCCCAGTGGTAGGGAGTAAGGAGATGAGGTGTCAGGAGATGAGAGGCCCGAGCACCAGATGCCTCTAAGAGAATCAGGGAGGCCTGCCTGGAGGAGGTGGAATTTACCAGCCTTTGATGAATGGTTGAGAAAACAGAATAAGCAAATGTTTGTAAGCAGAAATGGTCACAGCCCTAGGATTATAGTGTCCTGGGGGAAAATTGTTTATCTTCTGGTGTTTGTGGGCCTTACCAAGCCACCGAACGTCAATGTGGAAAGGAAGTATTAGGTCCCGTGTGTGTCTCTCTGCCATTGACCCCACAGTTGCTTTGGTTTTCTTCCGCCAGCACAATATAGATTTTCCTTTTTAATTTACTTACCTAACATAACATAGAAAATAATTTTAGAAAATAATATTGAGTTAACAAAAGAAAAATACAAAATAAATGTATCAATACCCACAAACCACCATTATTAAAATACCACTGTGGTTTCTTCCACTCGTATATATACAGTTATCTTGAAAACTGCAATTGTAATGTTAACTCTCATTCATTCTGCACGTACTTATGATGTCCCTCTGCCAGGACATACAGGGAGTGCGATCGACAGGGACCTGCCCCCTTACCGTCTGGGGTGCTGGAGCGGCACCATCCCGGGCGCGGGTTCCGTGTCAGAGGTGTGGGGTGTGGTGGGGCCCCAGCAGCCCCCTGTGCACACCTGCTGACTCAGGGAAGGCTTCTCAGAGGGGTGCCAGCTAATAGCGCCCTGAAGGGGAGACAGGAAAGAGCTTAGGCCCAGGGCAGCTTTAATGCGGTCTCTTTGCTTTGTGTTCTGTCCTCTGGGTGATGGAGACTAGAAGGGCAGCAGCCAGTGGAGAAACAGCACCCCAGGGTGGGCTGGTTCTTGCCTGAAGACTGAGACAGGCCGGACGGGGTGCAGCTGCTCTTTATTAGAGTCTGAGGTGCCTTCAGTGCTGATGGGAAGGAGCAGCAAAGAGAGAGTGACTGAGAACAAGCATAAGAGTCCCAGGGAAGCTCACGGGGCAGGCCTCCCAGCAAAAGTGGGGGGGACAGAGCACTGGGGAGAGGCTGCCCTGGGAGGGGCCCCCGCAGGACGGAGGGGCCGGGTTCACGGAGCCCTTTAAAGGCAGCATCAGGCTTGCAGAGCCGCCAATGCGGGAGCTTCTCCGGCTTGAGAAAGCCTTTGCCGTTAGTGATTCCGGTCCCACCCGTGTTCTGGTGACTGCAGCGAGGCGACCGATGCTAAAGCTTCCTGGCACCCTTGGGACCACTCGCCGCTAACGCTCTCTGCCCCCTTCTCCTGGCCCCCTGCCGCGCGAGCCAACTGTGCTTCCACCGCAGGAATCCTCCGAAGATGGGATGACGAGGGTCTACAGGTCATTAGTGACGAACGTCTGCAAAGAGATGTCCTGTTACAGCGACTTCCCCTTCCAGGAAGACTACCCCAATTTCATGAACCAAGGAAAATTTTGGGACTATCTCCAGGAATTCGCCGAACACTTTGACCTTCTGAAATACATCCGGTTTAGGGTAAGCTCCCAGGGCTTTGGAAGGTTAATGGACAGGGGCCAGCCCAGTCTGTGGTCTAACCGGGACAGGGAGCTCCGTAAACTTCGTCCTGATTTATCTCTGTATGAATAAGGAGCTTCCCTGCTGCTCAAGTTTTACTCAAATAGACCATAAAAATGTTGAATTTCTGGATTCCTCCTCTGAGTCTAAACTCTCATTCAGGATGAAATTTAGAGTTTCTGTTCTAAGTCTTTTCTTTTTTGAGAGGAAGCGAAAAATGAATTTGGTTCAGGAAACCCATTGTGAAGAAATGACCAGAAGTCTGAATCAGAGACATTTTAAAGGGTCGGAACCCATTTCCCTAAGCTTTCCCAAAGTAGCTGGTATTGTAACGCTTTTCCTTATCCCTGGGAGTGAAACTCAAATGTCCCCTTCTTCTGATGAAGGCACGCAGATGCCATGGGTCCCAGTTTGCATGACCACTCTTGAGACTTTGTCCAAGTCGCCCAACTTCTCCAGGGAGAGGCTGAGCCCATATCCACAGCCCTTGTGCAGTGGGACCCACTGGAACCAGCCACGGCCACCACGCCATCGCATGAGGTCCCAAGGGGATGGACAGAAAGTGGGCTTTATCTTTTGCTCGCAGACCACAGTGTGCAGCGTGACAAAGCGCCCAGACTTCTCTGAGACTGGCCAGTGGGACGTCGTCACAGAGACCGAGGGGAGGCAGGACAGAGCTGTCTTCGACGCAGTCATGGTTTGCACCGGACACTTCCTGAGCCCTCATCTACCTTTGGAGTCCTATCCCGGTGAGTCGTCACCACTAGGACCGTGCCTGCTCTCCTGGGTTCTTCTAGAAGGAAAGCTACTGATTTGTAATTGGACATGCTGCCTAAGAATTGCAGACACCTTTATGTTCCCCCTCAGAAATAGTACATATAACTTTGGAAGGTACAAAGCACTATGTAGGTGTTAGATGCTATCTACTTACCACAGCACGTGCCACTGTTACTATTTAAGCTGTCCATCCACACCTGATTCCAGTTCAGTGGTCACATAAGGCTCAAAACGATCAGATCTGTCCTGAAAAAGAACAGGCTTTGAATTTTGTCACTGGATTACAGGTCGTTTGAATCAGGAGTGACCATAATTGAGTAGCTTGAAGGAATCGAGGGTATGAAGAAACTCAGCAGATTTTTTTAAGACCACAAATTATACGCCCAAGACGCATGTTTGCCCTTCAAACCCATCCCAATGACAGTCCACATGCCCTTCTACGAGGCCTGGCAACACAAGAGGTGGTAGAAACTGCCTCCTGGAAATGCTTTTGACTCCAATGGCACGTTTTTTGCAACACACTTGCGAGTGGCAAATCTCCATCCTTGGAGATCTAACAAGGATTCCAAAGCTCCTCTTTGCCGTCACTTGTAAGTGGCCCTAAAGGCAACCGAGTAGGTGAAGTTTCTAAACTTCTTTAAGGAATTGAAAGAACTTTTAAGGAAGAATGGGAAGAATAAAGCTTGCAAACCTTGGCCAATTAAAAAAAGAAAATATAAGTCTTTAGAAACATAATCTCAAATGAACAAAATATCCTATTCAAAAATAGGCATCTTAGAGATTGGATGAGACTTCAGTACATAATTTTGCAAAGAAGCAATATTGTAAATGATGGTTCTGCCCCAGGCCTGCTGCCAGCCTGGGGGCTCCACAGATGCACACACACGCATGCACACATACACACACACACTCGCACATATGTACATATGCACACATGCACACACTGTCTCTGCCTTTGCCATTTTCTAACTGCCTCAGCTCAAAATAATCACTATACCAAAGCAGCACATTCTGGGTGGCTCGTTAATATTTCAAACTCCCAATGATCCAGAAAAAAACAGCCAGTAGTCATATGATTCCCCGAAGAAATGGTGAGGCATTGGGTCAAAATCCAAACAGTTTGGGAACAGACCCAGTCATTTCCATCAATCTCTACTTGCACCAGAGAGACGCAGCTCCAGCTGCCTGGTAATAATTAAAATGCTGTTGAAGCCACTCTGTCCTCTGGCCAAGGTCACTCTTCCTAAGGTTCCTTTTCTGCTTTTCACGAATCACCATGATGTCTTTCACAATATTTTTAAGACTAAGGTTGATATGAATGTATTACTTGGGAACATAGCTCTTCTCTGAATAAAAATACCAGGCTATCTCTACCCTAGCTATCAAGAAATCCAAAGAAAAGGTAGGCTTTGTCTACAAAGTGTCACCACAGCTTTTGCAAGTTGAAAATTGTGATGTATGTCACCTTTTTTGACGTGCGTGAATTGTCTTTTACTTTTTTCCTGAATTAGTTTTAATTTACCAAACAGATTCCCTTTTTTTGGTGCCGCATCACTGACATAGGCATCGACTCAGCACTCCCTACTGGTCTCTGCTTGCCTGTGCCTGCTCAAATGTGCAGTTAGGGAGCACCTATCATTTGCAAGGTGGTGTGTTAAGAAGTAGGAAAGACACAAAAATCCACGAGCCAAGGCTGAGCCTCAGCTTCTCTCCAGCAAACCTCAGAATTCGGCTTGCAGCCCATTCGCTAACACAGCAGTAGTTGCTACATTCATTTAAATGAAGCAGTGGCAGATGCCAGGAGAATGATGCACGCTAAGAGACAGTTTCATCTAGATTAGAATTTCAGAAGTACTTCGGGTACTGAGACGAGAGGCTGCCGGGCCCCAACCTGCAGCTTCCCCAATTCTTCCACGAGCTTCAGTGGGTCCAGCCCCATCTCTGTGCTTCCTCCATCACTTCTGATAACCCCCATCGCAGCAGCCACTGCAAACACCTCTCATTCCACGGTTACAACCATTGTCAGTTCACAGGGATCCGTGGCATATGCCTTTTATATATGCCAAGGAGATAACTTCCAAAAGTAAATCAAGAGGAGAAATACTTGGCAGCCCTTATTATATACATAAACATAGTAATAGTGATAGTTTACTGACAGGGTCAGGAGCTTGAATGATGGTCAGAAATACAAATATACATTATCTAAGAATAAAGGATAAATAAGCATACAGTATAATTAGTAAAGCCTAAAGTATAGGTAACAAGCCTAAATCACACAAGCAATTACTTTATTTGCAAGAGAACCTGTCACAAAATTGCTCTTGTGGAAATTTTAATTGAATTAAAATTCAATTTGTAAACGTGTTATATACTCAAATCACATTCTTACAGAATGTATATGTGGGTGAAATAGCGGATCAACAATCTGCTTCCAGCCAGGATGCTCACACGTGAGCTTACTGACCCGGATCTCCCTGAGTAACTGCCTAGGGAACGTTCACATACAATATAAATTCTCCTGTACCTTTAACAAACCCGTTGTCCTGAATCCAGCCAGAGGCACCTAGTGGGCAAGGGGATGATGGGCGCTTCTATCTCCTTCTTTTGGCACTAGGAGCAAAGGGCTGACTTATTTAGGGACTCCCCTTTTCCCACAGACTGTGAGCTGTGAAATAACTTCAGGCCCTTCTGATTTTCTGACCCCTCCTCACCCTCAGGAATCCACACGTTTAAAGGGCAGGTCCTGCACAGCCAGCAGTACAAGACCCCAGACGGCTTTCAGGGCAAACGCATCCTGGTGCTCGGTCTGGGGAACACCGGAGGGGATGTCGCAGTGGAGCTCAGCCGGACCGCAGCTCAGGTACCGTGGGAGCCCATACCCCATGCCCACCAGCTCTTCTGGGGCCGGAGAGAGGGCCTTAGGCCCCGAAGCTCACTGGTCAGTCGCTCTGTTAAGTAAGAACAGCATGAGTGAGAAAAGCCCATGCTGTACAGGGTGGAGCCCCTCGGAGAGGGGCCTGGGGAAGCTGTAGGGCTGCCAGGCCAGGAGCTTGTCCAGGAAAAGACCAGAGGGCAAACTGCCCCACCAGGCCAATCATCTCGCTTTCGCTACCACTCCCTTTGTGATTCTGGCAAAACCCCCATTTGAAAACAGAAGGGGATGTTGGTTTCTGGACATCCCCAAGTTTTCTACTAGAAATCAGATTTATACTTTAAGATAAAAGCAATCCTTACTCTGCCCAAGAAGTATACATCATGATTTTAGCCCCAGCACAGATTTGCAAATTAGAAATCTATTCTACTTTAACATAAAGTATATAATTATATATATGCAGATATATATATAACATAAATTATATAAATTATAAAGATTCAATCTGGAAAGAATGGATTTTTATTTGATTTAGTTAAAACGGCTTTCTCAAAACTTCACTTTAACTTCTATATTATTTACACATACAAAACTGCCAGACCAATAGTGCATGTCTCCTGGGACTGCAATTCTTATACTAAATGTGATGAAAATACTTACCTGGTACATGAGTCAGATAGAGGATCTGTGAAAACAGCGACAGCTATGATGGGTCTGTATACAAGTTCATCAGTCCTCCATTCTAGGACTAGAATGTCGTAAGACCACTTAACTGCAAAGTGATCACCCCTCTCTCCTGACTTCTTAGGTTCTTCTCAGTACGAGAACTGGCACCTGGGTCGTCAGCCGCTCTTCAGATGGGGGCTACCCATACAACATGATGGTCACAAGAAGATACCTTGCTTTTATTGCTCAGATTCTGCCTTCATGTGTACTGAAATGGATTCAAGAGAGGCAGCTGAATAAAAGATTTAACCATGAGAATTATGGACTGAGTATTACAAAGGGGTACTTAAACTTTTTTATTTAACGGTAAAGTTACTGAGTCAATATTTCCCATTCTCCTTTATTCAGCCCTGCAGATGTTTCATGATGCCGCCTTCATCTATCCTGTCCCAAGCTTTTTTCCTTAAGACTGTCCGTGAGGTTCCGTAACAGCTCCAGAAATAGGAGTGTCCCCGTCTGGGAACAAGAGTGACAATTCATGAGGCTGGAAGAAAATAAAGGATGGACACTTCATTTCCAGCTTGAGAATGTGTAAAGGGGCTCTGAGGAATGTCGGGGTACCTGCCATCCGCAAACAGGCCTTTGCAACTTCAGTGAGCGCAGGTGGCCAGGTCTTGCTAACCTTTAATGATTGTCTGCTTTGGCTGAATGACTAGAGGTTTGGATTTCCAAAAGGAATTCCCAGAATTTTATATTTTAATATACATCTGCACAGAGTTGCATTTGGCAAGGAAAAGAAAACCTTTGAAATGCATTTAAGGTCACTGAATGTGATTTTTATTATATGCCCTAATATTTTTCTATGGTAAGACAGCTCTTGACTTACAAAGGAAATCAATGGTAATGAATGATTTGATATGTAAATTTTATAAAGACATTATGTCTGCTGCGATTAAGGAGTATGATGCTATGAAAATACTCATCAGTATAAATCAACTCAGATTTTTAATTTTTTATTCAAAAAGCTTCTTGCTGATTTCCTCTTTCCTTAATGTCAATCCTTTGAGGCCTGAGGGATGTGAGACCTGAAACCAACCTCCAGATGGGTGGTGGCAGACTCAGCCCTGCCCCTCAAGAAAAACGTTGCTCCAGAAATTAATTCTAAATTGCAATAGAACACCTTAAATCCCAGGTAGAAAACAATTTAATGGGTCAATTCACCCCCTTGACTCAGCAGATAATCTCCCTGAATTGGCCAAATAAGCCACTTGTTGACGCGTCTCATAGATATAAACACAGTGAACGTTTTCTCCTCTGTGTCAAAGGAAAAAATTTAAATCCATCGTGAACGACGAGCTGCCCACATGCATCCTCTGCGGGGCGGTCAGGATGAAGCCCGGCGTGAAGGGGTTCACGGAGACCTCTGCTCTCTTTGAGGACGGGACCGTGGAGGAGGACATCAACACCGTGGTCTTCACGACAGGATACACGTTCTCCTTCCCCTTCCTGGAAGAGCCTCTCAGAGGCCTTTGTACAAAGAAGGTGTACCTGTACAAGCGGGTCTTCCCCGCAAGCCTGGAGAAGGCCACCCTGGCCACCATTGGGCTCATCAGCCTCAAAGGGTCCATCTTGGCCGCCACGGAGCTCCAAGCGCGGTGGGCCACAAGGGTGTTCAAAGGTACCTCGGCTCTCTGCCCCCTGCACTCAGCTGAGTGTTTGGAGGGGCCCCTGAGATACCGCCAAGAGCCAACAGATGTGAGCTAAAGTGACGCAGAATGTCCAAAGATGCTTAATGGACAATTGACATCATAGATGTGTGATGTCACTGGGTACATTTAGGGTACTAAATGAGATTTTGATTCTGTAGACAGGATAGATTTGGACAGCAGGTCATAATCGCATCCTCAGATTAACTGAAATTATCTGAAGCTTCAGAATCTGCTTCTCTGCTGTTTACTCCTCTTTCAGTTTTTGCTACAAGTAGGATTTTATGTTGCTTCCAAAAAATATATTGGAATAATGCACACCATGAATAAAATTGAACTGTGAGGAGACAGAAACCTTTAAGAAATGCTTAAAAATACATTTCAGGCCCTGGACACTCATTGTGGTTGGCTGTCTCTGTGACAGAGGCGAGGTTACCCCAGCCAAGCCTGACACTGAAGCCTGCCAGCTCTGAGGACCTCTCTGGGTCTAGCCTGTTCATCTGTAAAATGGGACACATAACCTCTTTCATAGGATTTTGTGAGATGGATAATATCTGCAGAGCAGGCCACGTATGCTCGGCACGCAGCAAACGCTAAGTGGCAGCCGTCTTACTATATGTACCATCGTACGTCACCTGGTGGGGCAAGTTTCAGATTAGCAAGTACTTTAAGGAATTGCATTTGCATTATTTTTAAATATAAACATCATCTGAACCAATCCAGTCAGCTGTCCTTTAGCAGAAGTTTGTCCTTAATGATAAAAAGTCATCAATAATTAATAAATGGCATGTATCATGGTACTAAGCATGATGGCTTCACTCAGCGCAAATATAATAGGCATCAAATTCCACAGCCTTTCATTAAATGAGCACAAATTTTTATTCCTTTGAGGCCAATTAAAGTGCTTTCACAGAACTGTCTGATTGCATCGAAACCAAACAAGATTCTTAAGTATCTAGTGTTTTTTTAGTATTTTGTAATGAGCTCAAAAAAGCATATCGTTGTGATGGAGCTGACAAATGAAACTAAGATCACACCACAGCTGAAACTGCATTTCTCCAGAGCCTCGAGGGAAGTCCTTCCAGCTCTCTACAGGACAAAATGGCCTAGTGGCCAGTACCCTGGGGAGCTCAGTCAAAGCCATCTCATGTGAGGGCAGCCAAGCACCTGGGTGGGCCCTGGCTCCTGGCATGCACAGGACTCACCAGCAGAGCGGAGTCCAAGCACCACCACGAGGAGAAAGTCGAGATGAGCAGGTTCTTGGCACAGCTCAGGGGGCAGAGCCTCTGCGAGGGCCGGGGGTCACTCCGGCCACTCCCTGCAGGAAGCCACATAAAGCAGAGGAGCAGGCATGCCGAGCAGGGCCTTAAGAGGGGCTCGTTTTAAGTGTTTACAGTGACCAGCTAATAACTTTAATGCACACACACACAAATGCAATGCAAACAACACTACATAGAAACATCTGTGCCCAGAGAGGGGCAGGCGCTGGCAGGGACCTGGTGCAGGCTGAGGCTGGGCCACAGTGTCCCTCCTCATGATTCTGGCTGTGGGGAACCCTGCCTAAGTGAGTTCAGAGGGGGGTCTTACCTCCAAAAAGTCACGCTTTGCACTCTGATTCCATTCCAAGCTCTGACAACCACGTGTCTGAAGTTGGAGCAGGGGGAGGCCAGAAATGAGGGGAGGAAAACTCAGAGAAGAGCCATGTGTGACTTGTGTTGTTTCCAATTTTTCTGACAGGACTCTGCAAGATCCCTCCATCCCGAACACTGATGGCTGAGGCTACTAGAACAGAAAAGCTCATAAAAAGGTATGAGACGGGTTGCTTCAGGAAAACATGCCACCATAGTCTGTCACACAGGGAGGTCCTCCATAGGAACCCTACTCCTAGACGGACCTGTAGCAGGCCGGAAACGGCCGCATTAGGAGTCAGAAGAACATGCCTTTAGTTCTAACTCTTCCGCCAACTCGATCTGTGGCTTAGGCCTGGGGGTGGGGCGCCACGTTCTTCGCGGATGCAGACCCTGCCCTCGGCAGGCAGTCCTGTGCACACGTGCCTGGTGGACCTGCGGTCTGTCCATCCCTCTGTCTCCTGCTCTGCTCTCTCTGTGTTTACTGGTCCCTCTCTCCTCCTCACTCCTCCAAATTGGTGAACCGCTACCTTAATGCTCAGACCTCTTCTAACTTCCATTCCCAGGTGGCCTTATTCCGGGCCTGTGGCTTAAATGCCATCATACACATGTGGTTCCTAGACTTGCATCTCCCCCAAACTCCAGCTCCCCATCCATACCTCTAGATCCACTTGGGTATGTAACACCTCTCAAATGTCATGTGCCCATAAAGTAGCTGCGGACCATCTCCGCCCTCCCGCCCTGACCTGAGACCCTGCTGCTCAGCCGGTGACTCATCCCGCCGACAGTCCAAGCCCCTCAGGGATCCTGAGTCTCTTAATCTCTCAGCAAATCACACCCGTAAATAAATCCAGATACGGCACCTTCGGCAAACCCAGAAGCATACCACCTCCTCCCCAGGCCAGGCCCTTTCCCACCTGCTGTCCTACGGCCCAGGGCTGACACGTGCTCTCTGTCCGAGCCCCGTGCTGGCTGCCCTTCTGCTCTCAAACCTGGGGCCCTAGGACTCGCTGCCGTGTGACAGACACTTCATATTTACTTATTCATTGGAAGGAGGAACAAATGAATGACGATCGGACTTCCTGGAAGTTCACTAACAGAAGAGGCCAGAATAAGGCCTTCGTGGCTCTGTCTCCACATCTGGTCATGCAGGCACGTCTGTAAATGGCCTCCTCAGCCGCAGTTGCCATAAAATCACGTAGGCAGCCTCACACGTGATGCTTTCTGATCGTGTCCATTTATTCCGTGACTAGCGTGTCCGCACTGATCAGATGTATCCATGTGTCAAATTTGAGAACCTCTTCCAACTGCCCCATTTATCACTTAACAAAATCGCCCTCAGAAGTACCCTTTTCCACACACTCCTTTCTGTTTCTTTCCAACATAGAAACTTTCCCAAACATGGCTTGACTCCAATAAAAGGAAACCAGATGGTGAGAGGAGGGGTGAGTGGCTGGAATCACCTGAACACGAATGTGCCCGTCTTTTCCCCTCAGGGGTGTGATAAGAGACACCAGCGGAGACAAACTCGACTACATCCCCTACATGGATGACCTCGCTGCCTGCATAGGCGCGAAGCCCAGCGTCGCCCTGCTTCTCCTCAAGGACCCCAGACTAGCCTGGGAAGTGTTCTTTGGACCATGCACCCCTTACCAGTACCGCCTCACGGGCCCTGGAAAGTGGGAAGGAGCTAGAAACGCCATCCTGACCCAGTGGGAAAGGACCCTGAAGCCCTTAAAAACTCGAGGCACCCCGGATCCCCCGACGCCAGCCTCCATCTCACATTATCTGAAGGCTTGGGGTGCCTCTGTCCTGCTTGCCTCTCTTCTACTGGCCTGTAAGTCTGCCTTCTTTTTTAAATTGGTGCGAGATAAACTACAAGGTAGAATTTCCTTCATCCAGTAAGTATTTGGCAAGGAGGAATCTGACTGGTCCCGAGGGCTGCACCACTCCATGTGAATCTGGTCCCCAGACATCTGCGACACCCCCTCCCCCGCCCCCCTGACTGCTCCCATCCAGGCCCTGGCCAGTTACCTGTTGACTGAATTCTTGTGCTGTCTTCCCTGGACTCGGTACCTCCTTTACTGCCTCCCTTTCCAACCCGTATTCTACTCCGCTACCTAAGCAATTATTCTAAACAAATCATGCGGTAATTGTTTCCATCAAGACCCTGGTAGGAATAAGATAGCAATAAAATTAGGTAATTTGTGGAAATTTTAATGTGGAGATTATATCAAAAGTTCTGGGCAAAGTATATGGAAATCACAGGGATAGTGAAGTACAGACTCCTACCAGTGAGGTATTTTTACCATCTGGATACCTAATAAGGCATGAGAAGAAGGCAATTATGATCGAGAGATGATGGGGAGACACAGGCCGGGGATCGAATCGTGTCCCCCAAAAAGATACTGTCAAGGCCTGACCCCCAGTACCTGTGAGCATGCCTATTTGGAAATGGGATCTTTCAGATGTGATCGAGCTAAGGTGGGAGTGTGCGGGACCTGGGTGAGCTGCGTCCTTATGAGGAGAAGGTACGACGGCCCAGACCCCGTGGAGAGCACCGGGAGGGGGCAGGCAGAGGTCAGCGGCGCGTCCGCCAGCCCAGGACAGCCGAGGCCGTCGCGGGGAGCGAGGGTGGGACACAGCGCGGATGCTCCCCGAACCTGCAGAGGGAACAACCGTGCCAGCACCCGGATTCCCGGCGCCCAGGCCCCGGGCCGTGCAAGAAGCAGCCCCACACTTGCGGAGCTCAGACACCGCGGCCTCAGGCAACCAATGTGCCGCAGGGCACGCGGGCGGGGGGTCCGAGGCACCAGGCCGCTGTCCGGTCAGTCCGTCAGCGCCGCCCTGGTCGGAGTCGCACCGCAGGGGAGAGCGGACCCCTGGTGGGCCTGGTGCCTCCGCCCCGCTGCCAGCGCCCTGCCCTGCGGCTCACCCCCTCCGGGCCTGGCATACCGACCCCAAGCTGCGCGCTGGGTCGCCCCCTCCAGGCACAGCCACTGCCCGCCGGCCCAGGTCCTCGCAGGACCGCCTTCCGGGAAGGAGCGGGTGGCCGCCCTGGGGCCCCAGAGCAGAGCTGACCCGTCGCAAGGACTTCCCCGCGCCCGGCCCTCGTTTTCCCTCTGTGTCTCTCTCCTAATAAACAGTGAGCCCTGGGAGGCGCCGCACCTCTTCAGCTAAAGCAGCGCCGGGCACAGAGTACCACTGAGTGAATACCTGATGGTCCCGCAGGCGCCTTGTGGGCCAGCGTCCTCGTCCATCCTGTTGTGCCCGTTCTTTCCTTCTGCCAACGTGTAACTACCTCAGCTCACCTCAGCCATGTGCGTGAGCAAGGACAGTCCGCCCAGCAGTTGATTTTTATAAGGAAGAGAAAACACACGTGGTGGGCTGATTAGAACAAACACAGTTGTGCAGCGACGGGGCCATGCGTGCCCGCTGGAGGCATTGACCCGGAGCTCCGCCTGGGCTGTGATCCGCTCTGCCAGCTGCGTGGCCATGGCCAAGGTACCCAGGCTCTCTGAGCCTCTGTTCTCATCTGGAAAATGAGGAGAAAGGTAGTAAGACGTCTACTGTAAGACAACATTAAGTGGGGCGAGACAGTGGAGGGTGTCGGGTGCGTGGTGAATGGTGAACTGGCTCTAAGCGCTGAAGGCTCTGGGGACGGTCCGTCCTCTGACACAGCCTCTGGGACCTGCTGCCTCGTCAGGAGTGTGGCCTGGCCTTCGTGGATCTCTGGCCGCACCTCCCAGCTGCCATCACTCCTTCTTCCTGGGGTCCCCCACAAATCACAAGGCCCGTTGGCCCTGCCATTGTGCCACCATCACAGCAGCACCATGGGCCACCTCCAGGGAGTGGGCCCCCTGCCACTCGGGCTGATGTGCTGGGACAGCCTTGCCAGTAGGAGGGGCGCCTAATTCCAAATCTTCAGAACCAGCTAAAGCTGATCAACAGCAACAATGTCATATTTAAGTTATTGAAACCCAAGTTCCTGAAGGAGAACTGAGACATCTTCATTTTTATTTCACATCATTATGTATTAGGTCATTGTATGTAACAATGCTATCTTTTCCATGTATTAGTTTTTGGATGAGATCATAGACTCAGAGATGTTCAAGGGTCAGCTACATACAGCTCCACCCTGCTCCAAGCCCCATTGCCTCTCATCCTCACACCACCTAGAAGGTAACCATAGTATTATTGCTCTCACTTAACGGATGAGGAATCGAGGAGGAGAGGTTACAGACATTGCCCACGGTCACCCAGCAACGGCAGGACTGTGCCAAGAATCAAGCTGGGCAGACGGTTGCTGGAGCCCCTACACTTAACCCCATGCAGGGGATGAAATGTGCTTTGATGCTCTTAGGATCTCTGGCTACACCTGGAAAGGGAACTAACAGATAAGCAGGAGAGCACCAAGTTTTGCTGAAGTTTTACATGTGTGCGGTGCCTCTGCAAGGGAATGAAGATCCTGAGACATGACCAGAACAGGAGGCTTTGTACCTCTGAACAAACAAGAACTGACAGGACAGAGGGTCTGGGTTGGGTGTTAATGAGGGTGGCTAACGAGGCTCTGCTGAGCAGATTTCTCAGCCCTGGGCTCCCCGTCTCTGGAGGTGGGAACGTCCTCCATCCTCCTGGTGCAGGGGGGCATCTTCCGCAGGGGTCTGAGACTTGGGTCCAGGCAGAGGGCAGGGCGGCCTTCTGTTCCTGCCCCTCAGGCTCAGCTTGGGCTGCTCGCTCTTTGCACCAGCTTCAGCACTGCACAGGTTCCCTCACTGATTAACCAGGCAATTAAATCTTTGACACAGGTTCATTCTATTTCTGCAAAAAAAGTTGTATCTAAATTCTGAAATTTACATACTCTATAAATTTGCCAATCACGTCTAAAGACTCTTTCAAGTGAGTCTGTTTCACAGTCATGGAATCTGGAGAGAGAGGCTTGTGTGGCTGCAATGGCCCCAAGTCACAAGCACCGCAAGGTGTGGGGAAGGGCGGAGTCTTAAAGCCCAACAGACCTGGCGTCAAACATGACCACGTCCACTTTCAACAGTTGGGGGAAGTCTCTCTTTTCCCCTGAGTCGCACTCTGTGTCCGTGAATGAGGATAGAGCTTCCACCTCGCAGAGCTACCGTGAGCACCAGCTGAAGCAGCTCACCAGCGTTTAGCACGGTGCCCGAGTCCTGGGAGGAGATCAGCGCGGGCCCGTCTCCTGCCCGTCTCCCAGGGCGATGCTAGCAAGTGCTTCACAACTGACTTCCCGAGAGAAAGCCGTGTTTGCAGATTTCCACTGTGCAAACCTTCCCAGCATGGCCAACTCCATCCCCCCCACCTGAACGAGAACTGGGAGGAGATGCAGCTGGCCCCACACACCTGTAGGCGCCGGCTCACGGGGAGCCCCTCCTCTGCCAGATCTCAGCTCAAAATGTCTCTCCTTCAGGGGAGCTGCGCTGACCCACAGATTGGTTGTTTCCTAGTTCTTCTCCTCATGGCCCTGTGTATCTGCTTCAGAACCCTCCTCACAATTTGTAATCATACATTTTAATTATGAGCTAATTAACCTCTATCTTACCCTTTAGACTATAAGTGCCAGAAAGACAGACCATATCTGCTTTGCTCCCCGTTATGTCCCTAGCACCTAGCTCCTAGCTCAATGTCTGGTACAAAAAAGGGGCTCAATAAATATGTGTTGAACTAAGCAAACAAGCAATTGAAGATGGATAGAAGGACGGATGGCAGGTGGGTGGACGCTGGGTGGGTGGATGGTGGATGGTGGATGAAATGGGTGAATGGATGGGTGGTGGATGGTTGGATGGTGGGTGGGAAAACAAGGGAGGAGGCCAGAGCCCAGAGGCGGCCAGCCTGCAGGGCCGGCTGACAGACGTGCTCCTGGTCAAGGGGAACATTCACAGGCACAAAGGATTTTGTACGAAGGAGGGTGGACAAGAAGTTATCAGTGAAAGGGTTGTTTCAGGCAAGGTCGCCCTTCCGGAGGGGGAAGCTCAGGGGTCTTGTAACTCCAGGGAAAAATATTTTTCCAGCTCAGGGCAGATTACCTTCGAAACCAAAAATCAGTCAAAAGGAGAAATGAAGTGGGAGAAACCCATGTATTGTTTACAAGCAGTCATTCACTTCTGCTCCCCCTCTCTTGGGATCATCGGCCTGCAAAAAAGGACCCCACCCAACCTCAAGGTTCCAGATACGCCCTCCTCCCCCTTGCAATTACCCACTGATATGGAGATGGCTACTTCCCTCCACCCCTTGGAAACACCTACCACTATGGAGATGCACTAAGGCCGGTAAGAGATTCTGGAAACACTGCTTTTACCCCCAGGCCTTCTGCAGATGACTCGCCTCTTGAGGTGTGGAGAGGCACCTGTGGCGGGGGACCTCACACGTGCCGTCTGGCCTGGGGGAGGTACAAACCGAAGTCAGGATGGGCATTAAGGCCCAGTCTGGTGATATGACCCAGCAGAACTGATTCCACTTGAGGCCTGTGGTTTTCTTTGTGACACTAGCAGGTAAACTATTTCTTCAATCTCTGGGAGCCATTCAAGCAAATTAGTCAAACCCGAGGATTCGTGGGAGCCTCAGATTTACAGCTGTTGGGTCAGAAGCACAGGCGACAGCCTGTCCTTGAGCCTCTGAAGCTGGGGTGGGGTTGCCTTGTGCCTCAGAATGCTCGATGCGTGTAAGACCCATACATGGGGGTCAGCACCAGGCGGCGTTGCGGTGGGGCACAGACAGCATTGGAGACACGGATTGTGCTTTTCCTTTACAGCAGGCAAGGAGCACACCTGGGGAGCAGGTGAGGCTGCACTTCCACATTCAGGAGACTTTTCAGATGTTCATCCACAGTACAGAATTCTTGCTGGCTAGCTTTTGCTATTTCAACCAGTTAGCACAACTTAGCACAACTTAGCAAAGTGTGATGAGCTGCAGGCCATATACTGCCAACCTAAGTTTGCAGTGCAACTGGAAATCTGATCTCAGGGATCCTCGAATCCTGATAGTGGAGAAACTGAACCTGTTTGAAGAACCTCAGCCCAGCCCCGCTCTGACCCTTGGGGATCAACTGTTTCTGATCAAGTCTCACCCACAGGAGAAGCCAGTCGAATGCCAGGCCTCTTGTGCAGTCACAGGGAGAGGCAGTTGGGAAGTGCAATCTAGCCTGGACATGGGCCTCTATAGGGGTCATGGTTCGAGCTGATGCTGAAGTCCTGACACACAGAGCAGCTATGCCTCTTCCTGAGAGCGACACAAAGCCCCGGGGACGATCCATAATCCCATAGCAGTTATTGTTCAAGTCATTTTATCTCCTATCACAGCATCATATGATTTGTATTTATTAAATGTAAAAGTATAATTTAAATGAAACATGCAATATTAAGAAGCATTATAGAGCAGACCACGGTCCACAAGATCAGCCAA